ACCAAAAATATGGGTACATGTTTGTCCCAGGCAAATTTTGTGAACCACTGAATGATCCTTTAAGTATGTTTGTTGCATAGGTATTTCTTGACTTTTTGGACATATACCAGTGAATGCTAACTGTCTCATTTAAGTGATTGTCAACGTTCACATCTGTGAGTTTTAAAGCTTTATTTTAAAAATGCCTGGGATTTTCCTCATTCACATGTGAATGTCAACATTTAAGACTTTCACTGTATCAAGCTACTGGTGCCTGCATGTATACAATCCATACAGGCATATTGTGGGGTAAAGAAACTTTGATATATTTTAATACGCACGCTTACCTATTATACCATTTTATTCCATTGTTTTATTGTATATCAGACAACACCTGGATTTCTTTTTTTGTTAATGTTAAGCAGTATAAAAAATTTCTAAATATATAAATATTATTTCCATATAGAGAAAATCTGGAATGTGTACTGGCTCTGAAACAGCGTTATAGTTTTAATACTAAGTAACAGTTTCGTAATGAGTGAAACATTTCAACTTTCTGTAAAATTTGGTTTTCAGATTTATCTGCCTAAGGCCATTTATTTTTTCTTAGCACAACTGGATGAGGTGCCCTCTGATGAAGGTCTGCTTGCTATTGACATCTTAACTGACCATTTTAATAAAGCAGAGGTTTTTGTTTTTATTTTTTTAAAAATTGCTTAGTAAAGCCCAGCAGGGAAGTTTATCAAATTGTTTCCCAGTGGGAATAAGTAATGAGAAACTGAAGCTTCACTATAACCAACCCATTTCCCCAACTGTGCTACAAAAGCTACATTGGGCTCAAGCGCCAACCGTGATGTCATTATTCCTGCCTCAGGAACTTCGTCTAATCTCATCACAGAAGGTTGTAAATTCAGTCTGGCAGTGTCAACTCCAAGCATTTCAGCTTCTGTAAAATGGCTGGAACACTGAAGCAGAAGTACCAGACATACCTTGCTTATAAACGTTCAGGCTTTTTGTTGTTGTTGTTTGCTCAGGGTTAATCTCCACTGCCATATTCATTTATGCATAAATCTTCAAACACATTTTTTAAATGAAGAAGTCATTTGAAAAAGGTTAGAATATATCAGCTTCACAATCTGTCCTGAGTGCTCACTGGAAAGAGAGACTGTGAAGCTGAGGCTCCAATACTTTGGCCACCTCATGAGAAGAGAAGACTCCCTGGAAAAGACCCTGATGTTGGGAAAGATGGAGGGCACGAGGAGAAGGGGACGACAGAGGACGAGATGGTTGGATAGTGTTCTCGAAGCTACCAGCATGAGTTTAACCAAACTGCGGGAGGCAGTGGAAGACAGGAGTGCCTGGTGTGCTCTGGTCCATGGGGTCACGAAGAGTCGGGCATGACTAAACAACTAAACAACAACAAGAATATATCTTGCATTTCAGTCTGAAAACATATCCACTTTCCTCTCAGCAATTAGCAACACAGCTAAGAGAAGCTCAAAGTGCTCAGTTAATCACAATGACCACCTTTGCACATCACAGTAAGCCGCAAACCATCGTTTACTGGACATGAGGAGATTGCAGCCCCTTAACACCTCCCTTCTTGTATTGGGAAGAAGCAAACCATGAAACATGAGATAGCATTGTGTCACTCCAAATGAACAATGGTGGTAAGTCAGCATTTGTTCTTGATTTAACAATCACGGTTTATCTGGAATGAAACAAATCACAACCCCTGGTTTGGATGTAATGCTAAGGCAGGGATTGTGTTTTGTTCACATACTAGCAGTAAGGAGCAAGGCAACCCAGACAGGCATTTTCACAGTAAACCAGGTGTGGGGAGCATTTGGATCTCCAGATGTTGCTGAACTACAATTCCCATCAGCCCCAACAAACACAATCATGGATGATGGGAATTGCAGTTCAATAATATCTGCAGTTCAATAATATCTGAAGGGCCAAAGGTCCCCCTCACTCACACCTGATGGTTAGCTAGGTTTACTGTGACAAACAAATAGAGCCCATGTGATGGTCAATGTATCTTTTAAATACAGTGGTACCTCAGGTTACATATGCTTCAGGTTACATACGCTTCAGGTTACAGACTCTGCTAACCCAGAAATAGTGCTTCAGGTTAAGAAATTTGCTTCAGGATAAGAACAGAAATCGGGCTCTGGTGGCGCAGCAGCAGGAGGAGGCCCCATTAGCTAAAGTGGTGCTTCAGGTTAAGAACAGTTTCAGGTTAAGAACGGACCTCCAGAATGAATTAAGTACTTAACCTGAGGTACCACTGTATAGGTTTTTCACATTAGGATTTCAAGCTTGGTAAAGCAACAGAGAATACTCTATAGTTCAGGTTCCCCAGTTATTAATCATATAATATTACAAAAGATAATCTTTACTTTCAAGAAGTGGCTTTCGTCTACTAAACTGTAAACCTTGCCACATTTTTTAACATGAAACTTGGGGGGGAAAATGTCAAAATGTATCTATATTCTAGATGAATAGCATGTACATTTATTTAAACTGAGGCTGAAATATTGCACACACTTACTTGGAAGTATCATGGAACTTAGTGGGACTTACTGCTCAGTAATATTTGTATGGCATTGTGTTGTAAATTAAATTTGATGAGTGCTTGACCTAAACTCCAGTGTCTCATCTACCAAAGTATAACCAATAGCTTATCGCATGTAATAGTGCAGTCCGATAAGGACTGAGCATGCTCAGTAGCTACATAATATTAAATGCAAATGAAAAATAAAAAGAAATGGGGGAAGGGAATAGAAAAGGACTGTTATGGAGGAGGGAATACTGACTGGCTAGAACCCTGAACAGATGCAGTCCTGGGAATATTGCTGCAACTTGGTGTGTAGTATCTACCAAACCCTTTAAATACGAGATAATGATATTTAACACTACACAACACATATTATTGGTTGGAGCTCCCTCAAGTGGATGACTGTAGAATGGGAAATAAAAGAAGAATGAAGTTCATCGTGTATTCTAAATACATGTAACTCTAAAATGAATCTGTTGCTTTTGGCATTACTTTCTTATACAGTAATCAAATATGCTTGGGATCATCTCCTAAGTGAAGAAAACAGCTGCTCTGCTGGCATTCAAGCAACTTCAAGAAATGCTACTGGATTTGTAATTTTTGGTGGGAACAACTTAAACCAACATATTTGCCTGTGAGCTAGTTTAGCCCAATGGAAATTTAGTGGGATCTGCCACACAAGCCAAGCTGCATTTAGGCTGTGGTCCTATGCAATCTTATGTGGGAGTAAGTCCCACTGAAATCAGTGGGACTTACATCTGAATAAACATGACTAGAATTGGGCTGCAATGCCGCAGTGCTTACTTCCTGAAGAAAGGAAGTAATGAGCGGAAGTTACTTTATGTCAATATCATTAGGAAAGATTGTGCTTAAGTGCGCTATCTTCTTAATCCGCTTTGACTCATTGCAGTTTGGGCTATCTCATTTGTTTGAAAACAGTTTTTTTGACTGGAATCCAAGACTTCACATCTCCAAAGAATAGCCTTGGGGTGGGGTGGGGTGGAGTTTGGTGATGCATGGGTGGCAGGCAGCATGGGCAAGTGACACAAGCAGGGCCACGGTGCCTAGGACTTAATATTTACATATATCTATCTAATTTCCTACAGATTCAGAATTCAACTGGAGAAAAAATAGCCTCCACATTTACTGGAAGACAGTTAATACATGAAATAAACCAACCAAACACAAATAGTTATGGGTTTTAGATAACCACTGAGCATTTATCAACATTGGTTTGCATAAGGAATAGGACATTAGAATGCTTGCTTGTAAGGTGGTGAATGAGTACATAAAATATCAGCTTCTCACCTTTGGGCAACTCCTTGAGCTTCAAATTTATTTCCAGGAAGTTTGGTGTTTTGACTCTGTCGTCTTCTCTCCTCTTCTTTTCTTCATCTTGGATTATATTTGTATCGGCCTTTTGTATATCCAGTATTGGTTGCTTTTTCTCCTGGCAATTTTATGTGCATTGTTTTGCATCCTTTCGGTTTCTTCGCTTCTCAGGTGACACTTCCACCAACATTCAAGCCAAGAGATCTTGTGCTTTCTCATGATAGTAAGTTAACCTTCTCAGAGATTTTTCCATGACAGACCTTACAGATCCAAGCAACTTTTAATTTCTTATTTCAATCCCACTTCAGTTTCCCTGTACGCTGATGTTGCTGGCTTCATTTCATCCAGGAATTCAAGTGCATTACACCTTAATCATGGTGCTATTTTTCTACTAGCACTGTAGACAAACTTCAATGAAATTTTAGAACAAATCTCCCTCCCTCCCCCCATTTTAATGCCTGGGAATAATTTCATATAAATGATTTCATGTGTAATGGAAATGAAACATGTATTTCTTAAATGATCACCACCAAATACAATTGCGTGTAGTTCCCCATTTCTATTGGTTAAAAAACACTTTGAAATACAGTACCGTTTTTGTTGTCATTCAGCCATTCAGCCATTCATATTTTTGCCAGCCTGGAGTTCTTTGAGAATCTTCCTTCAAGACGTGTATTTAAGCAACTATGAATAACAGTACAAAGGACTGAAGTACAAAACAGGACATGTTCACTTCTTTACAGAAGCAGTTTACTGCCTGCTTAGCAGGGAACCAAAATATATCCACTTCATCTGAATGAGTTTACTGCTTTTCATGTAAAGCTGAAGTTGTTTTTGAGCAGCAAAGTCAAGGCTTCCCTTAGAGAGAAGCCAGTAGTTGTTCATCAATTGGGGGTTTGTTTGTTTTTTGGCTTTCTTCTTTGACAATTCTAATACTAGTTTGTAAAAAGTTATACAGTTACACTTATCAGAAGATCAGACTTCACTTCAAAATAAAATCCAGACAAGTTGTTCTTTATAAAAATGGTCAAAAAGAGCAGATCTCCAGTCTTTAATGTCCGAATACAGTACACAGCCTAGTTTCTTGAAAGGGCAATGTCTCTTTCCTTTCCAGCACTGGCTACCATTGTTATATTGTTCCATATGAGACAGATTTCCTAGATTTCTCTCTGGGCTGAAAGAAAAAATATATACACAATAGAAGCTAAGTTACTTATAAAGGTAGTATGAAAACAAGACCTCTGTGTGTCTCAAACACATACCCCACTCCTTTAGGTAACATTTCAGTTTACCTTCCTCTGTCTCAGATAAACTTACTGGGGGGGGGGGACCCAATGTGCCCAAGTGATGGGGAAGATGAAGGGAGAAGGCAGCAGTTTCACAGCTGAGGAGGACCCAATAGGAACAGGATGAGGAGCCAACTGCTGCTGCCCCAGGCTCAGCTCTGATGCCCCACTGCTGCCAACTGGGCACAGGCTGTACCACAGGGGTGGGCTAACCACTGATGAATTGGGCTTTAAAAAAATAATATTTGAACAAAGCACTCAGTGAAAAGCAAGCTGGAGCATATTGGATTATACATCCACTGGTCATTTGATTTCTGAGTATGAATGCCTATTTTTGTTAAAGTTATTTAAGACACTGATGGCACAATCCTGTGCATATATACTTAGAAGAAAATCTAATGGCGTGCAGTAGGGCTTACTCCCAGGTTCATAGGGCTATGGGAGGAATTCAGCACAGCACTATTACAAGTTTTCCACCAGTGTAAGCATTTCTGATGAAACCATTCCCCCTCTCCTTTCCCAGATACTATTTTTGGGTTCTCCTTATATCCCAGAGTTGATTTAGGGGAGCTGCATGGACATATGGTGGTGGGTGGGCAGGGAGGGATGGAAGCCCCATTGCGATACAATTATTTAGCTGAATCCATCCCTTTGTTCAATGGGACTTGCTCCCAGATAATTGTTCCTTGGACTACAGCATAAATGAGCACACAGTCATTCTTTGAGCAGATAAGGTATTTCGTCTTCTTCACTTTTTCTAGGCAAGTCTTGAATTCAGTATTTAAGTACAATTTTTCTGCTCTGGAATTTCTAGTCTGAAAGCAAAGTCCACTAGGTCATCTAGAAAGCACAACATCACCATGCCTTTCAAATTCTTTGGCAAGCCAACCTGGGTGAGTCCAGGCTGTACAAGATCACATACAGCTTTACATAGCTGGCTGTCAGGCGTCACAGGATCCAGTCCCCCATGGGAGGTTGCCAGGAATGGATAAGACAAGGAAAGTTCTTACCAATGCTGTTTATTCAATATACAAAGAGAGAGGCTTAGAAATGCAGACACTTGCGGGTAATGGCGTTGCTCCGAGTGAGTCGCCACCCCCTCCCACTTTCTTATTATGCAACATCACTATGGGTCCTGAAAATGTGCCTTCTGCCTCTGAGCTTTCTGCTCTCCTACTTTCAATGCCCGCTGGGTTCCGAGAGAGGGGTGTCTGGAATGCTTTCTAAAGATATTATGTCTGTCAGCTGTCTCCCCTCTGGTGCGTCTTCTTCCTCTCCCATTATTTCCCAGCTTTCCCCCTCATCTGCCTCTGAGCTGTGATCTCCCTCAAACTCCTGTTGTAATTCTGAACTGCCTTCTTCTTCTCTGGAAGGGTCAGGCTAGGGAGGCGGTCTCTACCATTCCTCCTCTGCCCAGTTTCTGACACTGGCTTTGTGAGACGACAGAACCAGAGCGTAGCAGGAAGCAGAGGAGAAAGAGAGAACTGGAAAACAAGAGACTTACCTCTTGCCGTTGTGTGGGCGTACTATGACCAAAGAATGAAAGCTAAAGAGAAAAATAAAAACAAAAATAAAAACTAAAAATAGGGGGGGAAACAAGGGTAAGGAAAGAGAGAAAAAGAAAAAGAAATTACAGTAAGCCTAGTGAGAAACGAGCAACAACTCAAGATAAGAGTAAAGCACAACAGTCTGTGGAAAAAGAGATGAAATAAGCAGCAATAGGGCATAGTTCCAAACTGATCAGCATTTCCATACATTTCATGCCCATGAACAGTATAGAACAGACATCCCCAACTTGGTGCCTTCCAGAAGTTTTCGACCATGATTCTGATCATTCCTGCCTGACCATCAGTCACAAAGACTGGGGCTAATGGGATTGGATACCAAAACATCTGGAGGGCGTCAGATTGGGAAAGGCTGAGAGAAAGAGGCTTGAAACTGGAACCCAAGAGGTTCAGAAAATGATGGGAAAACAAGTTAAATGAATCTTTAGTTCTCCTTCCACATAATTTCCCATAATTGTTGCTGCAATGTCTCTGGATTACTGCCTTTAGCTGCTGGTGTGTAACTTTTAATGTAAATGAGTTATATGTGAGATTATGGATTTTGTGTATTGCTTCTGCCCCTTGGTGCTATTGTAGTTATACATGTTACTATTGTTATTTCTGTTGTCTGGTTTCTGACCATAATAAAGTTTGTTTGATACTGTAACGTGAAAAGGGAAATTTATGGCTGCATTTCAACTTTTCATCAAAGTATACAGATAATAATAATAATAATAATAATAATAATAATAATAATTTATTTATACCCTGCTCATCTGGCTGGGTTTCCCTCTGCCGTCTTCCTCAATTCAATGTCAAGTTAAAATTTCATGCTCTCTGTGATTTTAATCCCTTTAGCAGCAGGGAAAGTCTAGTATCTGGATAGCACAGTTATATTTTTAACGATGCACTCCTATAAATGTCTGTTCAGAAGTAAGCTTCACTGAATTTACTGGGGCCCCTTCTCACATGGGCATATTCATTACCCTTTTCATTGGTTCTTATTTCCCCCCAAATAAAATTCACTAACTCATGAATGTTGCATCATGACCAGAACGTGAGCCCCTTGGCGCTACTGCAAGTCGAATACAGAACTCCTTTAACTTTTGTTGATCCTCCACAGCAGGGGGAAATCTCTTTTACTCCCTGTGGGCCAGATTTGGCAGGTGTGATGGGTAAGGGCTGCTCTTATGTCCTCTTGCGCAGCCATGCTCCTCTGGCACCAAACACTTTGCCAGTGGAACAAGCATACCACTAAATGGCTTCAACGTTGTGCTACATTGGATATAGCCCATTGTCTCCAGGCTGTTGCCTTCCTACCTGTTCTTTCCCTGAGGCCGCATCCACCCTACATATTTAAAGGAATTCTGGGAATTTCATTATATGAATATCCTGCCTTTCCTCCAAGGAACTCAGTGTGGCATACAGCGTTCTTCCCACCACAACTAGCACCACCCCATTTTAGCTTGACAACAGTCCAAATCAACAGAGGTTGATTAGGCTGAGAGAGATTGACTGCCCCAAGGTCACCCAGAGAACTCCATGGTTGAGTGGGGATTTAAACCATTGTATCCCAAGTCCTAGGCCAATACCATAACTACTACATACATAAACTAGAATGAAATAAATTATATGAAAACATATTTATGCTTGAAGAATCATGATTTGACTTCCAGAAGCCAAAATGCCAATTGAGGAAGAAACCACCCCTTTTCTACAACCCCGTATGAATGTTCTTCATAACACTTGTGACTGAGCAGGTAATGATCAAGGCAATTCCTCCGTCTAACCAGATCATTTGGAAAATGACTAGCATTAAATGAGGCTGCTGCAAATAGTTATATACAAATCCTACTGCAATAGGCACACCTTATCATTCACATATTTCAGGGTTGTCATTACTATACATACCTTTTCTTCTAATTCCTTTATTTGTCTTTTTTGAGCTTCAATTCTTTCTTCTAACTCTTTAATTCTCTGTGAAAAGTAAAATTCTGCATGAATACTACCATTCTGGGGAGTAACATTTTAACCTGAACAACTTTTCAAACACTTCAGGAAGGGGCTTAGCTAGGGGCTGTGATGCAGACATCTCTGATTCCTTGGATATGTACAAAATTCTGATAAATTTCACAATACCTCCAGAGCCTTGGTTCACATGAATGAACTTACAGGTCTGTGGCTGCAGACAGTCTTTCAAGTAACTTGGTCCTGAGTTGTTGCTATATAACAGGGCGGAAGAAACTCGGGTGCTATGAAAAGCCAGTGCACCTCTTTCACAGGTTTTCCTCTGCATGAGGGAGCTTCTTCAACATAGGAACATAAGAAAAGTCCTGCTGGATCTGGCCAATGGGCCCATCTAGTCCAGCAACCTGTGGCCACCCAGATGCATGTGGGAAACCTGCAAGCTGGACACAAGCGCAATGGCACTCTCCTCTCCTATGGTTTCCAGCAAGGGGTATTCAGAAGCATTGGACCATTTCCTCCTGCCCAAAGCCTACCTGTTGCGCATGCTGAATGTGCTCCATTCGTTCACGGAGGATCTGGGCGTCCCTTTCGCGGAGCTCGCTCATCACCTGACGCTTCCATTGTTCCACAGCATTCTTCAGCTTCTCTCTTTCGTCTTCTGAGAGGATTTCGGACATTTTGGCTCCCGCTTCCTGCTGCAGGGCATCGTAAAGCATGGCTTCCAATTCTAAAATGTGCTAAATGAAAGGGGGAAATGATTTGTTCACTGTGAGGCTTGTTATTTGCATTATGCTCTTGCAATACTTGCTCTGTGGTGTTTTCCCTTTTGTTCCTTTGCTGTGGATGCTTATTGTGCTCATGAAAGCCAGTTTTTATTCACCTCGTACAATACCATCGGCACCCAAATATCAGACCCTGTTCATAACTAATTTAATCTGGTTTTGCCCTTTCTGTGGAAAATCTGCTAAGTTTTTTTTTAAAAGAAAACCAGCTGCCAAAACCCTTTTCCTAATAACTGAAAGTCCTTTGTGCAGTATTAAGCCCCCATTTGGAAGTACCTTGAGTCTAGCAAGAGAGTGGTTCTGAAATATCCATTGGGTAAGGTGTGGTGAAGAGGGAGATTTCAATAGCTAGTGCAAAACATGGTCGACAGATTGCTTGTGAAAGCAAACCAGCAGCAGCATATCACGCCTTGCTTGAAGGAATTGCACTAGCTGCCAGTCTGATACCATGTCAAGTTCAAGGTGTTGGTACTGACATGGAAGACACAAACATATGCAGCTCAGCTCCAAGTTACTTGAGAACCCCCCTTACCCCTTTATACCCAGTAGGTTACTGTGGTTTGTCAGAAAGCTTCTTCTCAAGGTTCCAAAGAGATCAGAAGTCCACTCCACAGAAACTTGGGGCAGAGTTTTCAGTGTGGCTGCCCCTGTTCTGTGGAACAGCATCCCCAGGCACACACTGTTTGTGCTTTGTGGAATCAACATAGGCCATTTTTGTTTCAAGAAGCTTTTCCAGCAGGGTGAAAAGGTCTCTGCCTTAAATATTCACTTTCTATTTTGGGGGGCAGTTCTGTACTGTTTAAAAACTACTTCCACTGATATTTTATTTTATTTTATTTTATTTTATGACTGCAGATCACCTTGAGACATATTATGAAAAAGGAGATTCATAAATGAAATGACAACAGCAATAAATTCAATGGAATTAGGGGGGGAGCTCTGGAGAGAACATAGTGTCTGAGTGCAAGAAGGAGACCCATTTTGCACATCAAAGTCTTACTTTGCTGCTGATATAGCTGTGCAAGAGCGGTGGGTTGTTGGGTCATGCCATGTCTGCCTAAATTGAGGACTTCCAGTTAAACTCCTAATCATTCTATTTTTATTTAAATGGACATGCATTGTTGAACAAGCAGCACTAGGTCCTAGAAAACAACAAATGCCTCCATGACTGCTTGTCACCAGCCACCACCCACTAGATAGTTTCACTGGAATACGCATAGATAGCAGGGAGAGCCTTTTATTCGTGAGGAATAAAAGTCCTCGGAGTATTCTGGATAAGCCTCTTCCTCTCACTTTTAAAGGTGTGGGTGGAATGTGTTTGATATGAAATGATTTCCATATTTCTGCCACATCTCCGACAATAATATAGAGAATGCTCTGTGGTGTTGCCCTGTCTAAGATAATGCAGAAATCCCTTCTGTGCGTTAGGCAAAGTCTGCAGGGAGCTTTCATTTCACACATCAGTTCATAATCCCTGATATATTGTTATGTGCGCATAATAACGTGGAAGCATGATAACCTGAGTCTCTGTGCTAGAAAGAGGGAGCACAGAGGGTTAATCAGCTATGTTATGCCCCTCAGATATGTCTATCAATGGACACTTCTCAGGCTTGCAGCGATAAGCTTCTTGTTGCCAACATTCTTACTGATCCAGCTTTTGTACCTTTGAAAGCAGAGTGGAAGAAATTAAGTATGGAAAACTTTCCCTTTCATTTTGTCTTAATGCCAGGGGGGAAAACCCCTTCCTGCTTTTTGTACCAAACCACCTCTCATGATCTCTTTCACCATGTACTCAGAATCACTGTCTCTTCTTAACACGAAAGGGCATTTGCAAACTGCCTTAGTTCAAACTCCGGTATTTCTCTTAAGAGAAATTGTAGCAGCAATGCAGTTCCTAAAACAAAGAGTAGTTTGTTAAAGGAGTATCCTGTATTCCCTAGTGCTGACTAAGTTGATCATAATCTTTCTTTGAAGATTCATGGCACAATCAGAGAGTAACTAGGACTTATTTTGGATGAAATACTCCATTAAGTCATGAAACCAAGTCTATAACATCTGTTCTTCAACTCAGTTTTAACTAAAAGGCTTCTATCAGCCGATGCAATATGGAATGGTCACTCTCATTCAGATTGCTTGAATATTCGAAGAATTCAACTTACCTTATGTGCTTGGTCTAAGGACTGCTTCCTGTAATCAAGTTCATCATCCAAATATCCTTTTTGTTTACTAAATAGTTCCTAAAGATGGAAAGAGATTTCGGTTATACTGGCTATTTTTCTATGTGCTATGTGGGATTCATTTTTAATTTTTTGTATAAGTTCTTGTATTACCTTTTCGTTTTCTAGATCTATCATCTTCTGCTGTAGAGCTGATTCTGTTACTTCTATCTGCTGCAGCCACTACATAGACATGATGAGAAAAAAATCCAAGTCAGATATGCAGATTTGACAAATGAGTAGTTGTCAGAAGTTCTCTTTTATTATTGCTCTCATATTACTGATCAATTAGACACAAAACAAAGATGTTCCAGTATATTGCTAGCTTATAAACCACAAACAAAAGACAACAAAATGATCAACTAGTTCCTTGAGTATGGTAATGATTACCAAGAATGCAATGAGGATATTCTGAGTATTGCATTTGCTGTTGAACAGAAGTGTGGAACCTCAGATTGTCCGGGTGAGCATGTGGCCATTGTTCTGAAAAAAGATCCCTACCCCTTGTCTTGACCGTGCTTAAGACTGCTGCCCATAGGGCATTATGAAGAGCAAAATGAAGTGCTGAGTTATGACAGCTATGTAGTCAAAATGGGGCTACCAAGGACAAAAGAGAGCTATCAGCATGCTTTGGAGAACATGAAATCAACTCACAAGAACTGAGCATGCTCATGGCCAAAGAATGCTGAATATCTGTATAAGGTAGGGGAACAGAAATTGGAGGGGTGTGTGTGCTGGCGCAATGAACAGGAGTACTCCACACTGTGCCCGTTCGTTACAGGTCCCACTTGTATAAATTCAACTGTCATAGACATTTCTAAGGAATAGCATTCAAATGGAAATGACCCTTTACAACGTTAACCAATTCATAAGGTATTCTTTAGCTTAAAAGGTAAAGGTAAAGTGACCCCTGACCATTAGGTCCAGTCTCGGACGACTCTGGGGTTGCAGCACTCATTTCACTTTATTGGCCAAGGGAGCCAGCGTACAGCTTCCGGGTCATGTGGCCAGCATGACAAAGCCACTTCTGGCGAACCAGAGCAGCGCACGGGAACACTGTTTACCTTCCCACAGGAGCGGTACCTATTTATCTACTTGCACTTTGACGTGCTTTTGAATTGCTAGGTTGGAAGGAGCAGGGACCGAGCAACGGGAGCTCACCTTGTCGCAGGGATTTGAACCACCAACCTTCTGATCAGCAAGCCCTAGGCTCTGTGGTTTAACCCACAGCGCCACCTGCGTCCCTTATTCTTTAGCTTACTGTTGCCTTAATCATGCAGGTGCCAATTGCAATGGCCACCCTAGGGGCATCATCTCAGCACCATCTGCGTCTGACTGTGAACCAGAAGGTTGGTAATTTGGGCCCACCCAGGGACAGCTGTAGGCAAGATTTCTGGATTGCCAGGGGTTGGACCCTCAAGATCCCTTCCAACTCTACATGTCTATGATTCTCTGTAGCTCTTCTTCGAGAACAAGAGTGTCCCAATATATGTGCTACACATTGTAGTGCTAGTATAAAAATGCTTCACCTTGAGGGAAGAAATTGCCTTCTGATGCACTATTCTACATGTTCCGGTGGTGGCATGGGGAAGAGAAATGCATGGGGGCCATTTCAATCAGCATCTACTAAGTAATGTGTAGTCCAGGGGTGCTTCCTTAATTTTCAAATGAATTGTTGACATACTGCATATTGGGCATTGGTACCAGGGCTGTTGTTGTTTGTTTTTGTTTTTTTTACTTATTTGATTTCCCCCATAAAGGGTAAATCTGAATTAAATGGGGGGGGGCATGAACAAAGCTAGCATTTTTAGGCCAATAACATTGTGGGTGCTGCAAAAAGCCTGCATGTGTAAAAAGTACCAATTTCACAATAAACCTGTATGGAAGCATTCCTCATCTTAGAAACAGCTTTGAATGCAGGGTGGACGAGGAGTGGGAAAATACCAGCCCTACCACTATACTCCCACTGATCATGACTGTGCTATACCAGAGAAAGTGCTCACTGAATAGCTCTCAGAATGGGATGGGGGAACCATGTTCATTACCTTTTCGGCCAGTGTCAAAACAGTCCGCGCTTGTATAACAACTACTTGCTCGTCATTCGTTAGGTTCTGCAGCAAGAACAAAACAGAATTGTCATCAGAGCACAGGCCTTTTCATCTTTTTGCCATAGCCAAATTATGTCAGGAGAGCAGAGCAGCTCTTGGCATGGTGGCATCACATTGCACGCTGTGTTTTCCTAGATCAAGTAGGGAGAACCTGTTGTCAGACTCAGTTCCTACCAGCCCCAGCCAGGAAGGACAAGGATCAGGGATGAGATGGGAATTGTGTCCCACAACACCTGGAGGGCCACAGGTCCCCACTCTCTGACCTAGATATTATGGAGCAAAAGGAAAAAGACTTATGGAGATACAGCAGCTCCATGCCTCACATGACCTAGACCTGCTTCCCAAAGAGCACTTTTTTTTGCACACAGGGAGGTTCTACACATAGCCAAAGTCTTCTACACTGCTCCTTTAGAGAAATCGTAAGTATACAGAAGAGAACTGCAACTCAGATCTACAAGCATGATGTACAGAAGAAGCCAGCAGTAGTGGGTGGTGTTGTGCCGCTGCTCCCACTTTCAGGGATGGCACGAGGGCAGGGCTGAGTAGCAGAAGGGTTGGCAGCATGCAGTTGCGCAAGTGGAGCCAGTCCAGCATTTGCACTGGTGTGCCCACACAGCCCCAAGCTTACCACTGCCTTGCCCCCGCCCCCAGTAAGTAGCAGCAATGCTGCTGTAGGTGGAGTGGCCTTTCCCCATGGTGCCAGCAACTCCTGAAATAGACAGCAAATGACAAAGATGCAAATGCCAGCGCTTTTAAATCCCACTGATTTCAATGGGAGTGATGAAATCAGCCAGGCTCCATCTTTGTGCGGATCATCAAATAAACCAACAAGCAGTCCAGCAGAATTCACTTGTAACTTGCACAGGATCAGTAGTAAGCTAAAGAGTTTGACCAGGAAATAAGAATTTATGTAGCACAATTTTGTACCATTTTTTAAAGAAATTTAAATTTAGTTCACCTTAGGCTCTATTCTGTTTGACAGAGTGAAATTCTCAAAATTATTAAAATACTTGTCAAAAGAAGCAAAAAACAAAGACCGGGAAAGCGTTAGGGGGAAATAGAAAGCGCGTGCCCACTCATGAATTGATTTTGCTTTTTTTAAGAAAAGTAGCGTAAAATTAAATAGCCAACATTAAGGTGGTGTGGGGAAAAACATAAAGGACCTTATTGGCATATAATAGCAAAGGGCATGCAAATATTGACCTGTATTGACTTGTCCCAAACAAAATGTAAGAAAAGCATTTTTTAAAAAATGGATGCTAATTAAAAGATGCTTGAGGTTATTTAATGCTATCTGGACAAAAGGACAAAACATACTAGTAGGAACATGCACAATTTATTAAATGAACATACACTTACGGCGTTATCCCCTAAAATGTCCAATTTTTTCATCAACTCTGCTACTAGTATGTCCTAACAAGAGAGAGGTACACAAGGCACAGAATATCAGAAAAATGTACAATGCTTTGTTGAGATGAAGCAGTAACACAGAAAAAAGAAAATAAGAATGACTTACTGTTACTCCTTCTGCCTCACAGTAGACCTGGAGGGGGCTTTTCCCTTCAGTAAAAGGAATGTGATGAAAATTGATAGCTGGAGATCTTCTCTCTCGCTCCTGTAATCAAACCAAAACTGTGTTGCTTTCTCATCAGCTTAATTAAGAATGAGCTTTCATAAATATAAACCATACGTAAGCCAAATATGCAAGAGAGTGACTGTCAATCATTTGGAATCTGTATAGAAGGAGAAGCATTGGCTACTTTGAGATATATCTAAGGCGGGGTCAGCAAACTTTTTCAGCAAGAGCCGGTCCACTTTCCCTTAGACCTTGTAGGGGGGCTGGACTATATTTTGAAAGAAAGAAAAATGAATGAATTCCTATGCCACACAAATAACCCAGAGATGCATTTTAAATAAAAGCACACATTTGACTCATGCTGATTCCCGGACCGTCCGCGGGACAGATTTAGAAGGCAATTGGGCCGGATCAGGCCCCTGAGCGTTAGTTTGCCTACCCATGATCTAAGAGGTGTGATGGTGTGATGTAATAGTACAAATGTGGTGTATAAATGGTACAGGCAAAAAACGATTGCTCATTGCAGAACCTTTAATCTAAGAAACTCCTTCTCGGAGTTGCTGAAACTCAGGCATAGAGCAAAAGTTGGATAGCGAGAATATGCAATGACAAACGGGGAAATCCAAGCATTTCATCCGTTGCATTTTCAGTAATAAAAAAACACAAATTTGAGTTTCTATATATATTTTAATGGAAATCCCAAAACTCTTGACTTTTTGTCTCCAGTCATTATTTTGCAAAAATATTCTGGAAGTTGCCTGGTCCTCAGCTAACATATGTAGAGAAGCACCTTAGCTAATATGGGCTTAAGGAGTGTCTTGGTCACTCTGCTCTGTCTGAAGTGCACAAACAAATGGACTGTTCCTTACCAGTCATTCAACACTGTGCATGCACAGTGGTGATGGGAAGCATAACAGAGAAATATGTGACATAAATTCAATTCTGGGCTGCTAGGGAGAGACAAGGCCTTTGGAAGTGGCACTATACCTGACGATACGATTTGTTTGTCAAGCCCAGTATTCTACTCTGACTAGCAGTGCCTCTCCAGTATGGATGGCAGAGAAATTTGATTCACTGTGTATTTAAAGCTAAATCTATCAAACTCACACTTTCTGAAACAATGTGTGAACCGAAACACAGCTATCCTTCAAAAGTTGCACCTATCTGAATTTTGCGATGAAAAAATTCAACGGAACAAAATGTTCACAAAAATGCATATGCTAGGGGGTAAAGGAGAAAGTAAGCATAAAAATGATATCAGGGGAAATTGCTAGCCAAAAAACAACAACGTATACATTAGGTGAAATTTTATTCAGAGAAATTTTCACTAAAATGCCGCTGAATTTTCATAAAGCTTTTAAAAAACAAACCAGAAATGGCTGCAAAACATGGAAAACTGAATTTCAGATTGGGAAAATGAGAAATGGAAAGAATCAAAATTGGCAGATCCTTCCATCTCCCCTCAAGGGACCTAGACAAAGGTATTTTCCAAGAGCTGCTACTTGCTCTTTTGAACTGGAAATGCCCATGATTAAACCTTGGAACTTTTGTATGCAAAACATGCATTTTTCTACCATTTAGCACCCCTTTAAACTTTTCAATGTTATATTTTTTCTCCTAGTATAAAAGAAGTATGGTGTTTTTAATATCTTCCTACACTTTCTAATTAAGATAATGCAGGTGAATATTGCATCCTGTTGATGTGCGGAGTCCACAAAGCATCTGCGTTGGGTTAATTTATTTAGTAAACATACAGATCACTTCCTATATATAAAACATCTCAAAGTAGATTATAGTAAGGAGCCAGACTCTAAAACAACAAAGAGTCAAGGGCTGTTGTCAATGTACAACAATTCAATATAGAGTGCAGATGATATTTAAAAACTAGCAAATAAAAACAATTTTAAATAGAAAAATCCCCCCAAAACCCAGACTATAAAATACTATAAATAATAAGCTGTATGATCCAGGACCAACAGTTAACATGGCTTTGTTTCTTTGTCCATTTAACCTCCATTTCCCTTTGTCTGCTTATGCGCTCTTTATAACTGAACTATCACTATTTTTACCCACACTTCTGAAGGTTTGAACAGTACTTTTCCACATCATAAGGCATTATTAAACAGGCTAAGATTTCAGCATGTTGCTGTAGAGCTAGAGAATGGTCGGCTTTGGCTGCAGGCATACCACACATGCCTTCACCACAAGAAACCTGGAAACTGTAGTTCACCCTTCACAAAGCTACAATTCTCAGCACTCTTCGAAAACTGCAGTTCCTATAATTATTTGGGGTGGGTGGGAAATGCCACATTAATGTATATTGTGCACACAGCCTGGGGTTTTGATTAAAAGGATCACTGCAGTAGCATCATGTCACAACCAGGGGGTGTTCAGCTTGCATGTTGAGCAGACTCACACTATCATTCATGGTGCTGCATTTCAGCAAGTCACTACTATTACATCTGCAGATGTAGCAAAGGGTGGTGCAGGACCGACCAAGGGAGAGCATGATGGAAGTGATGCTTGGCATGCATTAGTTACTTGTACATTATCTCCAAAGCTCTTCTGACACTGCGATGCCATCTGACTCGGCACAAAGGCAGATGTTCTGCAATATTTGCCACCAAGTTGTTAAAAGTGTGATTGCCGCTGACATGCAGCACAGATCTGTCACTCTTGCTTCATGAAAGAACTCACTGTAGTTACACTGGTGTTTGTTGCCGATTGCTCAGTTTACAGCTATGCATACCCACCTCTCATTACGACAAAGCAAACTGGAAAGGCTCTGTGGCCCATACTCACTTCCAGTTCTAATATCCTAAATTCCAAGAGTTCGTTTTGATCTTTAGCATCCTGAACATCATGCTTTAACCGAGCCTCTTCTACCTCCATCTGTTTTATCTGGAAAAGCAAAGGGATTACTCTTTATGATATTACATACATAAAGTATTACGTACTTCATGAGAAGAATACCATCTTTTCTTGTTCTAATGAAAACTAATACACACCTAGTCCATTAAACTCCCTTTTAGTTCACATATGATGCAAATGTTCTTTATTATTAATCTTTGATTACACTTTTGCATGTAAGTATTGGATTTTTATTCTCTGAATAGAAGTGTCCAAAAATGTACCTTTTCTACAAGCTCTTGATTTCTTCGGTATAATGCTTGTTTTTCTTCAATCCACTTCATATCCTTGGGGGAAAAAACACATTAATATTACTGAAAAAACACTGGCAATATTCAATTCCTAACACTGGCTTGGTTCATCCAATGGTTACCAAGATAGGAGAGGAGGAACTCACAGCTGCTTTGCTTGTCCCTGGGCCTCTTAGCTCAGCATGGTGCAGCAACTGAGCCAAAGTTTAGTTTACCATGTCATCTTAACACGACTAAATTCTTTCCTCCTTAACCAGGAACTGAAGCCAAAAACAAATCTTGGAGCTGAGAACCTTGGCTTAGCTGCTGTGCTAAGCTGAAAGGACTGAAGAGGAGCAAAGTGGCTTCAGTGCTCTCCCCAGGAGCCAGCACATTCATGTCTACATGCTTACATGTGAACACAGCCAGGGGCAGAAATCAATGATGACATATGATTTCCCAGGAGAGAATTGTGAGCAGGACATTGGCTTCCTGACTGTGTTGAGTCAATGCACTTTTTAAATAGCACGTAGGCTGCCTCTCTTGAGAAGTGCAGCAGTGAAACGAACTATTTCTGGAGTGCTTTATCATCTTGTTTTTGGAGCCTTCCGTTAGATTAATTATACGCTCAACACATAGGGAGAGGATCAGAAGTGCCAAAAAGCCAGAATGAAGGATAGGGAAAGCCCCTGCAATGTATACTACCACAGTTAAGTAATAAACCTGCCAAAACCAGAGAATTGTGGAGAGTCTGGTAGATTAGGACCTCAAACCTAGGTGCAAGAGATTAAATATTGAGCTGCCCTCAAAATATATAACCCAATCGAAGCCAGACTTGTAGAAGTAAATCTTGGAGTTAAACTTATTCCAGTAAATCAGCCCAAGAAAGGACCTAGAAGGTGCCTGGACTGTGGCTTGGAAGCCTTGAGAAAATCTGTCAGGACTGATTACAAGAACAAGTTTCTCAAACTCTTAAAAGGAAAACGTTGAATGAAGAAGGCTGCAGGCCAAGGAATACATGAGGGTGGATGTATTTGCACATAGCTAAACATGTACTGAATACTGGACTGCTATGATGCATTTGATACAATGCATTTATTACCTGTCCTTGCTCCGCTAGTGCCTTTTCTAGGTCATCTATCTGAGCCTGGGATCTGTGGATTTCTGCTTGAAGCTGCTCACGAGTCTGTAGGATGGGATTGAAGAAACGTCAAACTTTCTCTGATAGCTATCATGTCAAGGACAATGCAGTTCTACCCATCTGAATAGCCCAGGATTGCACAATAACACCCAAATGCTGATCCATGAACTCGGACAATTTGAACTGCAATTTGCAGGTAGTTGTTTCACACATTATGAAAGCCAGTAATTTCCATCTTGGAACTGAGTCTACAAGCTGACCTCAGGGCTGCAATAGCCAGCCTAATCTGGGTACTTTAGGGGTGTATTTCTTTCTAATTTCCCTTGTCTCAGCATCTCATGCTGTGTGTACCATCTTGCCTGAAAAAGTTCTGGTGAACTGGAAAACTTGCCACATTTTTTCAACTTTTTGGTTTGTCCTAAAGGTCTTGCCCAACAGTGGACTTTAAATAAAAACATACTTTTGAGGTGGGGATACTGATTTAAGAAGTGGTCTTGTGTTGAGCATGAAGTATTGGATATCCATGGTCAATTTCTCCCCAGACTAAATCATATTACAACTTTCAAGCTGATTTTCAAACAGTGCATTTCAGTGCAACCCCACCCCCCAATTATATAGTAATAGGTGAGAATGTATACTGCTATAGACATATGTATAAGACAGAGATGCAAAACCCTTTGACTTTCTGGGTGCTGTTGGACTCCAACTCCCATCAGTGTCAGCCAATGGTCTGGGATGATAGCAGCTGGAGTCTACCAACCTCTGGAGGATCACAAGTTTCCCATCTGTGGTATAAGGTTTTGTTACTTGCAAGGTGTGCTCAAAGAAGGCAAAACACAATTTAAATATTCAGATACTTGTAAGGAAATGCATCTCTTTTACAAGTGTAAACCTGTGAATACGTAATCTTAGTAAAGGCTTGTGAGCATTTTATATTCAAGGATATTGCTAACAGATTTCCATAGTAATGGCACTCAACGGCAATGTTTTTTTCATATATCATTTTTTTTAGGCTGACGAGAAGCATGAAAATAAAAATGCGCTAGATGTGGTTTCTCAGCAATCTATTCCTTCAGCACAAGAGTGGACAATGTGACTGATTTGAGAGACCATAAAGTTGAGTTTAGTATTTTAGATGGTTTCGTAGGCACATTATGAATTCACAGCAGATCGGAGTCACATTAAACAACTTTCTGCCCAGGAAAACCTCCCCCAAAATAATTTATCACTGATAACTAAAAGAAGGGAGTGGGGTAAAGTGGAAGAATGAAAATGAGGAGCACACTGAAACTCATTTTAAGCTGTTTCTCAACTTTCTGCACTTTAGCTTTCTACCCAGACATCATTTCACCTTGTCACTATATGGCTTCTACCTTTAGCTTGGATGGTTGTCCCCCTTAATATGGGTACTTCTCCCTTGTAGTTCCCACATGTTCCTACTATTCTAGTTAAGACCACAAACCTGAAAACAGGGTCTGCCTTAAGTTTTTTAAGGTGCCAATTTATCTCAAGTTAATCAGGACTCACTCTCACTGAAAGAAATGCAACTTAACAGCACAATGAATTAGGCAAGTCCCACTGCATTTGGTGTTCTACATCATGAGGGGAACCTACCCAACTGCAGCAGGGTCCACACTGTAGATTGTCACCATCCTGTTCATGGAGGGTGCAAGAGGGTGGACCTATTGCACTCAGCCCTGCTCTCCCTTCTCACATATAGGCTCAACTCAGAAAAGGAACACCTGTATAAGGTTTAAGTCCCACTGAAAGTAGTGAATCATTGCATTCAGTGGGGCTTATTTCTACGCAGATATGCATAGGGGCAACACAAGCACATTCATCCCTTCTCTCTCTGCTCACATGTTGATTTAATCCAGAAAAAGAGCATCTGAACATGACTATAGTCATGGCTGCTCTTGATGGATTGTAATTCTAGATCAGGGTGGTTGGACTGCAACTCCCATCATCCCTGAGCACTGGCTATACTAACTGGGACTCGTGGGAGTTGGGGTCCACTACAGGTTCCCCTGCCCTGTTCTGGACAGTTTATGGATACCTAGTGAATAATAATAACGTACCACAAATAATACTTTATGAAGCTAAGGCTCCTTTCCGTTGCTACATTAGTGATATGGCTGCTGCTGTAGGGTATTTCCCTCCCTGTGCTGTTCCAGTAATAGTCTGAAGTCTTGTAGGGTGAGTTGACAACTGAATTCCTTTCCCTAACGGCATCGCCTTCTCATAAATTATCATTATTATTCTTCAGAAATTGATGAAATGCTGATATGCAGAGAGGAATAGCACCATGGACACCTCCCATATGACTCTGGACATTACTTGAGTGAAAGGAACTGCTCTGCAGTGGTCCCCACAGTGATAAGGTAACATTAAAATATAGGTAAAGGTAAAGGTACCCCTGCCCATGCGGGCCAGTCGTGTCCGACTCTAGGGTTGTGCGCCCATCTCACTTAAGAGGCCAGGGGCCAGCGCTGTCCGGAGACACTTCCGGGTCACGTGGCCAGCGTGACAAGCTGCATCTGGTGAGCCAGCGCAGCACACGGAAACGCCATTTACCTTCCCACTATAAAGCGGCCCCTATTTATCTACTTGCACTTAGGGGTGCTTTCGAACTGCTAGGTGGGCAGGAGCTGGGACCGAAGACGGGAGCTCACCCCGCCGCGGGGATTCGAACCGCCGACCATGCGATCGGCAAGCCCTAGGCGCTGAGGTTTTACCCACAGCGCCACCCGCGTCCCTAAACATTAAAATATACATGTCATCTATACTTTTTTCAGAGTCTTTGCTCAGGTAAGCAATCATAAATTGTCTTAACCTTAAGCAGGGATGGGAAACCTGTGGGGCTGATGGCAGTTCAAGTCCAACAAGTGTCTGGAGGGATGCATTTCTCCACCTCTGAACTATAGGATATCCATTATTTCTCACCCAGAAAGGATCGAGTACCTCTGTTATAAGGGTTAGACTAGCAGGAAATATTATATAGTTACAAGCCTTTATTTTCATGTAATATAAGCCATTTAGACCTTAACTTCTCGTTCTGCATCCAACGTTCCTCCAACCTGCTCTTGCAGCAGAGCATATGCCCTCTGTAAGGCCTGGTATTCCATCGTCAGCTGCCGGAATCTCAGTTCTGTTTCTTCTTTGGCCATGCCCTAAAGCGCAACAACAATAATTAAAAAAAAGGAAATGCCAGATTGAACTATGAATATAATTCTCCTGAGAAAAAAACCCAATGGAATTCATAAACGGCCTTTACAGACAGTCAACTCTCCTCTAGGATAGAACATTTTGACAAGATTTACACAAAACTATTCTACGTTTCTTATGGGCTTAACCATTTGAGTTTGTGCAATATCTATGCTACTATCAAATCCATGTGAACAAACCAAGGAAACATAACCATAAGAAATGGTTCTGTAGCATCTTAAAAGACTAACAAACTGATTATGGCATAACCATGTTTGAGCTAGCGTCCAGTACATCTGATGCAAATCAACCCTTACACCAAATATAAGGGAATAAAAGATTCCATGTTCTCGTTCCAGATTTTTCCCCAGGTTAAAGAGGACCTCTATTAGTAGTAATAAGCTACAGATTTGAGAAATGTATTATTAGTGATTAACTTAGGTCCATCAACATCACTTGGTCTATTCTCTGAGTATAATGTAGTTGGACACAAGCTAGTAGTAGTAGTACCCAAACCACTGGACAATGTGTGACAATTACCTCTTCCAAGTCATCATCCGGTGTGCAGGGTGTTTGATCTGTTCGGTCAGTTTGATATGAGATAGAAGAGCCATCAGACTCAAGGGAAGCTTCTTCATCATACCCGAAAAATGTCTCCACCACTGGCTTCTGACCAAATGACAATGTGTAAGTGCAGGCCACTGAACAATACAAATATATCTTTCCATATTAAATCAAGCAGATCTTACAATACAAGATAACTAGACTTCCTTCCTATATGAATTTTGACGTGAAGACTTCCTGTTTGAATAATATGAGCAAATATCATCTCTTTCTCATTTTCTTGATATATAGTAATTTATGAGAAGCTCCTCCAGGAGAATGATGCATCACAGTAAACACTTATTACCCATCAAGTAGCATCTTTGGGCTGTATCCAATGAAGGCATCTCATTAGCGCAAGGATGTCCTCCTGCATGATGGGAAGTCCTTTCCCTCTCCTCTCCTCTCCCTACACCCCTCCACCTGCTCTGGAGAGTTGGAGAAACCCCCATAACAGATTTAGGAGGCCCCGGGGGACAAGCAGGAAGAGAAGAGGGAGAGAAAGTATTGTAGTACAGCTGAAAGTCCTTGCACTAACAGGAAAATTTCACTGGATACAACCCCATGGTTAATTCCATTTCCTGATCATCAACAAAGGCTGTAAAAACCTTACATAAATTAAATACACCACCATAACTCATTGCAATAATCTTCATCTTTGATCTGTATAAGGGGGGGGGGACTGGCAATGTCCTATCAGCTATGGGCATTCTAACTGCAGAGAGGGGACAGGTCAGTCCTTTGTCCTGTTGACAAAGTAAGTGGCTGTGAGGGAAATGAGCCTATTTGAAAAAGGCAGAGGCAAGGAGGCAGAGGGATGACAAGAAAGGGAGCCCAATAGGCAGATCAGCTAAAAGAAGAGGTCTGAATAGGCAGTGAGCTAAAAGGGATTATAATAGCCGATGGTCACAGTTGGCTTACTCCATAAAGGCTCTTTAAATATCATTATATACGTATTGAAATAATACATAGTTTCCCACTTAGTCTCTTACCTTGGGAAATTTTGCGAATTTCTTCCTTTGTTTCCTATACCTTAGAAGCTTATCCCGCTCCTGCAAGCAGAAGCAAAATGCATGTGTTAGAGATCCACAAACTGGGATTGAATACAATTCATCTAAGAACTTGTCAGTCTCTTATACCGTTATATTTATGGAAAGTGTGAAATTGTAATAGAACAGGGCATTTAAATTGCACAGGTAATCTGTGAGGCAAATCAGAATACAAATCAAAGGACAGTGATAATAATAAAAATATGATTTGCGAACTTTAAGAAGCACAGCTTCACTTTCAAGCACCTGATCTGAGGACAAAATTCTTTGGCTGGTATCTGTGATGAAATAACCTTGCACTAAAACTAGTCCCTGAATATATATATATATATTCTCAAGTGGTGATCATTTTAGGCGCATCCAATTGATGCTTGATCTCCAGAATGGGGGAGGAATGGGGGCAGGGAGAAAAGAGGGCAGGGAAGGGCAGGTGGAATGGGGCAGAACGGGGTGGGGTGTGCTTATATGCACCCAGTGGATATGCGTGGGGGCCAGGAACAAAACCCTCGTGCGAAATGGTCACCGCCTGTGTACATATACACACACACACACACACACACACTAACCAGAATCTCTTTTATATTAACGTATGAAGCCATTAAACATAACAACCTCACTGTACAATTCAATGGAGAGTTCACATAAGCACACATGAAAAGCAAAATGAAACCCATATGCTACTTACTATTACGCTCTTCACATAGCCAGCAGTTTCTAGTGTCTAGTTTAAAAGAATTAGGAAAACTTGTTATATGAAAGGACACTTGTCTCATTTTCTTTAGCAAAATATCACAATACTTTTTTTTTAACTTCTGCAACCAGCTCTATATATTACATAATAATAAGTGTATATTTATTATTCAAGAGTCATTATGAGGTACTGGTTAGACTAGAGGGTCAACCCCTGGGAGACCAAGGCTCAATTCCTCACCCAGCCATGAAACTCACTGGATGACCTTGGGCCTTTCTCTGCCCAGAGACATCTGAGAGGCCACAGGTTTCACCCCCACCCCTTTCATATTTCTAAGTGATGACTTCTCAGTTCCCCACACAAGTCCCAGGGGTTGTCCCCAGAGAGTGAAGCTAGGTCCACGCAGTGCCAGGCCACATGGCAATTACAGAAGGATTGCAGTGAAGTCTTCCTTTACCTTTGAAAGTTCATCTATGATATTTTGCTGCTCTATGATTTGCAACCTCAGAAATTCGACTTCTCTTTCATCTTGACTCTGATCAAGGTCGTTTAAAGAGCTTGGTCTCCTTATTGTTCTCACCCTTTGTCTCTAAAGAAACAGAACAAATGTCGAGCAACTGATGAGAGTGGCTTTTCAACAAACATCATCAAATCCTTCCTCATTATGCAAGACACTGTCACAATGCAAGTTTTCCAAGAAAAAAACAACCCTATTTTTAAATAGTAATTATATACCACTGGATCAAAAACAATTTGTTTGAGTGTTTACATAAAATGGCACAACATATTCATTTTAAAATCACAATAAAAACATAATTTGCAAACAGTAAACATAATAAAATTATTATCCAACTATAGAGAAAGTCAAAAGATATAATCACATCCTTTCCCAGCATTTATTATATTTTTCAATATAACAGTGGGTGAATATGCAAAATGATGTGAGTCTTTGACATTTTGCATATATGCATGAAGTTGTGTGATTTTTTTTTCATTTTATATACCTCATTTATAAGCTGTCCATCATATTGCAATCCCAAGGTGGGTTCAGTGAAATGTGTAAAACAGAATACAATAAGTACAAGAAAATGCTAATATAATAAAATTAAACACTGTAAAACATGGGATTCCTGGGAGAATACATGATGTAAATATCTCACCATTTCTAAATTTTCTTGTGTGACAAATTTTAGCTTATTTTCCATACGACGTAAGGCATGAGACAAATCCTCATTTTTCCTACTTAGGCGTTTATTTTTGTCTAGCAGTGGTTTATACTGGCTCTCAGCTTCTCTCAGACGCTTCAGCTGAAAAGTGGGGGGTAAATTACACAGGTGTCAGAAATATGCACAATGTTGATGGTATAAATATAAAAGAAATATGGTACACATTGGGTGGAATGCTCCACTTATTAAAAAATTCTAATCGGAAAGATTGGAACAAATATTGGTTTTCTTACATTTACTTTCTTCTATCATAGAACCTAAGGTAGCTTGCATGGCACCAAGGTGGTCATCTATCCAGGCACCGGCCACATTCACACCTGTTTGGCTTCAGTTAGGCAGTGGCCTCACATGTGAACCTGAAAAGTCTTAGGTGTAGAAGTCCAATTTGATCCTATTAGAATTCCATATATGGAAGGAATTGGCTCAGATTCAGGTAATGGTTTGTGGTACTGTCTATTGATGAAAGCAAAGTTTAATATTGTGTGGAAAGTCAAAGTGCCAAAGGGCACTGGCAAAATTTAAAACAAAGACGTTTTGCACAAATACCAATATGTTTAAAAATAATATAGATATTTCTTATGTCTCCTGGCTTAAAGAGCAGGGAGCAGGGCTCTTTCGCAGTATACTTTCAGAAAGAATGACACATGTCCTCAGCTTTTTCTCTTAAGGGAAAGCCATGTGGAATGGCAACCAATACCATCCCATTTGAAGATATGCTTGCATTGTTTTATGAATGAAACATATGATGGAGATTATATGCCTGCGAGCCTGGGATACTATTAAGGAAATGGAAAAGAAGCCAAGTGGCCGTGCTTCCAGTGCTCACAACTGCCTCATCAAATATGCAAGCCCCAGTTGCGGCCCCAGATTATATTGCAGAACTGCTGCTCTAATGTCCTCTATAAATTTCATCTATATGGATTTTTCCAACATGCCATCATGCTTTATTGCAGCAGCTCGGTGAAATATAGGGTTTGCCACAGTAAATGTCATTAACTAGCCTTTAAATAGGATTGCATAGAGATGGGGTAGCACTCTGAAGAACTAAAAGCAGGAGGGGGAAATTCCAGAAGTTTAACTCTGCAGACTTCATCAGAATTATACTGAGAACTTGAGCCTACAGCAAAGTGAGGGCCATAGCTCAATGGTAGAGTACTCTTTTTGCATTCAAAATTTCCACATTCAGTCACTGGCAAGGATCAAGGAGCAGGTGATGAGATGGGTCTTCGTCTGAGTCCATGAAGAAGCACTGTCAGCAAGAGTAGACAATAATAGACTAGAATTCATGCATCCCCCAACCTCAGCCCTCCAGATGTTTTGGGACTACAACTCCCATCACCCCTAGCTAACAGGACCAGTGGTCAGGGATGATGGGAATTGTAGTCCCAAAACATCTGGAGGGCCAAGTTTAGGGGTGCCTGGACTAGATGGACAAACAGTCTGACCTGATGCATGGGAACTTCCCATGTTCCACTTTTCACTTCCAATTACACCGAAATGTATGGCAGGGATGGGGAACTCTCCAGATCTTGTTGGACTACAACTTCCATCATCCTAGCCCATTGGCTGTGCTGGCTGGGAATGATGGGAACTGGAAGCCTAACAACGTCTGGTAGGCCCCTAGTTCCACACATTGTAATCTAAGTGCTTTATCTTTGACTGATGCCTAATTTTTTTTATTGAAAATGTTAGTGCTCTAAATGCTTATAAAACTAAAGAAACTAAGAGGAAAGAAAAAAATGCTTCTTTGTGGCCACTTCAAGAAAGAGCGAAAATTCCTTCCTGTGGCAAAAAGAGAGAGGTTACCAATGGACCTTCAGCGACTTTGAAACTGCCTTAGAAAACGGGCTTGTCCTAGCCATCTATCAAAAGTGTTCTGAGCTTTCTTTCGGTTAGCCTCAATGTTTCTTATTCATTCAAACTTCAGCTGGTGGCATACTGTAGATAAATTCCTAATCCCACATGCAATTATGACGTTTCACGTTAGAAAAACATCTTCTTTGGAGAAAGGCAATTTTTGCTAAGATATGTGTCAGATTCTTGCATCTTTCTATAGCTGAAGGGGACTGAATGGTTGCTTTCTGAAATGAGTTGAGTAAATTGATGAACTCATTGACGACTATAAAGTCATCAACATTTATTGTCCAAGTTATGTTCATATATTATATTCTCTATATCTGAACGTATATCCTACTTCTTAAGTTGCTTCAACCTCTTGCTATCAATGCTCTCACAAAAAATAGTCAAGTCTCCTGAGTGAAACAGAAACTTAACAGACCTAGGTGTAAAGAGGTTGGATGGTAGGAACAGGGCTGAATCCAGCATAAAATCTGACCAGCCTCGTTTTATTAAAAAGAGTGCCACCCCTCTGCCCCCCCAAAAAAACCAAACTCAGACCCAGGATCTTGTAGCGCTGAGTACAAGAGGCATATAGATGAAGTGGATCTGCCCTACATAATCCAGTCAGAAGTTATTTTATGAAAAATAAAAGTGATTTCTTACAAGCTCATTTCGTTCCTCTGACAGTAATGCATTCCGATCTTCCAGTTTCCTGATGATTGCACTTAATTCGGCTATTTTAAGTTGGAAGCGCCGGGCGTCCCTCTCATCCAACTGCTGTTCCTAAAACAAAAAACAACTGCAAATAACTGTTCATAGAGGAAATATATATATATTAGAGCTCTTTACAGACCCCATCTTCTTCCCTTGTTGAATCCATCCATTCCTGACTAATTATATATAATCAATAGTGTAACCTATGCCTTAATACTGAAAGATGAGACCAACAGATATCGAAGAAAGGATGTATGTAAGAGAAAGCAAACGCAAAAGAAAAAGGGATGCATATGTAGATAACAAGCCACACACGTCATACTGGGAATTGTGAAAGAAAACATTGGGAATTATGGCAATGTTTCCTGTATTTGCCACTGTTGAATTGAGTGCCTTAAAACAGTTGAGCCGCCTAGAACTTATTTATGGTAATGTGAGGTATAGAGATGCTGAAATATAAAATGTAACAGGTACGTGCAATTCTACCATTGCATAATTCCTTTCCCATGGAGCGGTGAATCTAACTGAGCATCTAAATGGGTCACTTAAAAAATCAGAGGATTGTGTTTTAAAATCAATTCACATGTGAAAATGTTTAACCCAAATAGAGAATGAATACAGATATAAGAGTAGGCATCATTGCTTTTTTTAAATAAGAGCGAAATAGTTATCTCATTATATTAACATTTCCTCTTCATTTGTTCTTGATCTATTTTGATTCATTTGGAACCACGTATGTTAAGAGCTTTGATTCAAGCAAACCAATGATTATATTTGGCCTTAATGACACTCAACAGTGCTAGGATTCTTCATTCAACAGGTGCAGGAGAGGCTTGGAACAAAGGACAGAAAAGATTTTGTGCTCATGTATATATATATATATATATATATATATATATATATATATCCATCCACATTTCAAATTAAGCAGCACTACAAAAGAAATCTTGATGAGGATCAACAATGAAAAGAAGTTCAACAAATGTCACAGGGGGGAAAAAATCTCTGTTATTAGCAAATTAATACAAAAGCTGGAGAAGTGGCAAAGTCACATAAGAAGCCAGCATAAAAATTTAATGGGTTTAGATATAATGGAAGAAGAGACTGCAAACAGCATGGAAGAAACAGCAAAGAGCATTGGCTAAAGTTAAGAGCTTTGTGATGATGAGCAACCTCAGTGATATTAGTAATGAAGCCTAAGAATGATCTCTACTTCTGTTTCCCCCCTGCTAGTCAATTCAGTTTTGTGGTTGTTTGCAACAATGCTGGTAAGTAGCCCTCAAAATTAGCACACACCCATTAATCAGTTTAGTTATGCATTTGCATTGTAAGTCTCGGACAAACCATTTCATGCTGTCAAACTAAGGCAAAATGTCAAGGTAAGCTGTGTGTTGTTGTTGTTTTAATTCTTTTAACCTGCTGGCAAATTAAAACAAACAAAAAACCATGCTGTCACATGTCAAAATTAGGTTTGAAATCCTGCTGGCTCTCTCTCCCTAGAGCAGGAGTGGGGAACCGGTGTCCTTCCCGAGGCTGCTGAACTCACAGCACCCAGCATCCCCGACCATTGGGCATGCTGGCCGGGGTGGCTAGGAGTTGGAATCCAACAACATCTGGAGGGCTGCAGATTCCTCGCCACCACCCCAGAGGGGAAAAGAATTTGTTGCCAGAATGTGCACTCACTCATCAAGATTTTGGCATATTTGTTTGTTTCAGGCAAAACCACTAGAAAGTGCTTACAGGACTTCCTGAATGATCTGAAGTCTCTCCTGCACCACTTGCATGAGGAAGTTCCCGCTTGGGGCTGCTCAGATGCCGGTCAGCCTCTCTGAGCTGGGAAAGTTGTTCATCTAAAGCCTCCTTTTGGAGCTGAAGTCTCTGAGCATGCCCGGCTTGAACCCCTAACTCTCTTTCCAGCACGTAGACTGCTCTGTCTTTAAATTTGATCTCCTCCATCTACAAGGAGAACAAAATACAATCACATACGGGCATGCACGGTACAATTCTGGCGTTGCCATAGTAACTGGCAGCATTCCCGCTAGCGGAGCATTTTAGATGATACCCAGAGGTAAAAACGCATAAAATTCAATCCTGCAGATTTCATGCCCTTTAACGTTGAAAAGAAGCACTGGTTTTGAAAAGGGGAGGGGGTGAGCACCCCGAAAAATAGAGTATTTTGGCAGCAAAGATAATAATCATCTCACTTATTATCCCTTATAGTAAACCTCTTTGGAATTCTTTCAGCAAAAGAAAGAAAGACAATTTCAAAAAGAGAGAGAGAGAGAACTGGTTTGACTATTTCTTCATGTCTACACATTACACTGAAATCCTCACACCAGGTTTCCTACAAACAAGTAAGTTTCAGTACCTTTTGAATCAGATTCAGAATTCAGGATTATTATTAACTGTGCAGCACTGAAAGTGTGCCTCGTGCATGCATTAAAGTTCAAGGGCCTGGATTTTGGAGTTCAGGCATGAAATGTTTCTCATTTGATTAGTAAGGAAGTAGGCTCCATTCCTGACCCACAATGATTGTTACACTGAGAGTTTAATCACAAAAGAATAACAACACAGAATACTTTTTTGAACTTAGGTTTGGAATGAATAACATAACTCCACAGAAATGTTATGACATTTTTTGCTGTTCATGTCAGCATTTAAATGATAATCCCTTGGTGGCCAATCCTATGCATGCTTACTCAAAAGCAAGGTCAGAACCCCAATGACACCCATTAAAACCAACTATAATATAAATATAAATAGTTTTGAAACAGCTTTATTAAGAGAAAAACAGAATAACCTAAATATTTCCCCAAAGGGTAGCAGAAATGGAAAAATTTAAATATATAAAGGGAATATTTTGGAGAAGCAAGCTACATTGCTGTGGCATCTCAACAAGAAAACACCTTGTTTAAAAGCTGAACATGCAGCTCAGAAATGTAGAGTCAAATTTTTTTTGGGGGGGGATAGGTTAATTTCAATGTATTTGGGTTTGGGGATGTTTCCTTATTTAAATTTGAAGTCTTAGTGAGAATGGCCACATGGAGAGTTTTTAAAAATGTAACCGAATTATATTTGAGGGGAAATCCTCAAATTTCCAAGTATATACAAAGACATAGCAAACATAATCTCATTGAAATGTATTGTACTGATACAAGTGGTAAAAATATTCAAGCATTATTTGTTTATCTAGATTGCTGCATTCTGTAATTATAGTAGGAACCAAAGTACCCTGGGAGTAGGCTCATGGAAGGAAACAGTTCTGGGGAACACATTGCTAGAGGCTGCTCTCAGCTGCTTCTTGTAACTTGTATTCATTTACTGTGCCATAACCTGCCTTCTGCTGATTTGAGATCAAATGCCGCTTTGTCATTTTCCTTTAAATTACATCGGAAAAGCCTAATCACTTTCTACAGTATGTTACCAATGGGCTGTGTGCACTGTGTGGTACTATGCAGTATAATCATGCACATGCTTACCCAGAGTTAAGTGTCACTGTATTCAATGCAGTTTACTTCCACATAAGTGTGCATAGGATTGCAGTCTGAAATATCGATGCGCATGAATTTATGCACACATGCATGCATCAGACAGAGATGAGATGTGCCCAGTTCCCTTTCAAAGGTTTGTGTTCTAGAGCTGAACCCTGAAAAATGACAACTCTATGAACAATATTTAAATAAGGTATCTTTTAAAAAGGCAAAATAGGGGCAAAGCAAGAATGGTGATTTACCAAACACGAGAAAACTAAGTCTACTCTGAATAAGCAGGGACAGCTGGGATGAATGTACCATATCTATATATAGACCCCCAAAGAGAGGGGACCAAGAGAGAGAGAAACTCTCTCCTAAGACTAACCAGGATGAGCTGAGTGCATTATTCCCCCCTGCTCAGGATGACCAAGCAAAAAAAGCTGCTTCTGTAGTCAAGGCTAACCAATACAGAAAAAATGCTGTTCATTTTCTAGGAGCCATGAGATGCCTGTGCTGTCTTGCTTGCTGTGTGCTGGGAGCAGAGTTTTGTTGCGATGGGACAGGCAGAGTTGAGCACTAATGGTGTGGCACAGCCTTCCTCAACGTGGTGATGTTTTTGGAGTATAACTCCCATCAGCCCCAGCCAACACTGAGAGTCGCAGTCCAAAACATATAAATGGCACCAGGTTACAGAACACTGTGCAGAGAAAGTGGGGCTCAAATTTAACTTGCAGTTAAATTGTAGCAAAAATGTACTTTGCTTCCCCGCCCACCCCAAAAGTAGGGGAGCCTGATTCATAGTAGGGAGGCAGCATGCTGGGATGGGAGGCTTTGCTTTTTACTACCCGTCATGATTCTGGAACATTGTGATCAGGGGCTGAGGAAGGGGGGTGCAGTGGGGTTGCAGTGGGTGTCACCACTGGGGGTGTGTGACAAAATGGCGGGTAGCACTCACCGCGGGGCCTGCAGTACACTTGAGCCACGCGTCTCTCCTGGGAGTGACGCGGTGGCTTGGGTGCCCGCAAGCTCCACGCTGCCCCAAACATCCGCCTGCTGCCTTCCCCTCCGCTGTAGGTTGGCTGGGAGGGAGGAGGGAGGCAGACTCCTTGGAGGCCCCGTGGAATGTCCTGTCCTAGCTGGCCCTGCTCAGCTTGCTCCGCCACTGATTGTGATATTGGAATGCCTTTAGACTCCAGGATGTTTCATGCCACACCCACCTTTGTGTTGGAGTGGAAAGGGCTGGAAATACTGTGTGTGTGTGTGTGTGTGTTCCTGCATATCTGGAGCGTGAGGTGTGCATGACAAAGAGAGAAGGGGAAGCGCTGTGTGGCTGCATATCTGATGCATGTGTGTTTGTGAAAAAAGGTGGTGGATAGACGCCTGCGGGCTTTTCCGTTCTGTTCTTCTTTTGCCTTGCCCACTTCATCCACCATTGGAAAGCAGACCCCAGTAAGTGGCCAAGTTGAAATCTGGCCCTCTGGTTGAAATAGGCTCCCCATCTCTAACCTAAGCCATTGATTAACATGTTGACAAATACAGGGGCCAAGATAATGCCGTGCAGCACCCTACTCAAAACCTCCCTCCAGTTTGAAGTGGAACCATAGGTGAACACAGTCTGAGTGCAGACCTCCAAGCAGCTGACGGTATGATCACCCAGCCCGCATTTAACCAGTTTGCTAACGAAAAATATCATTGGTAAATGCTTTGCTGAAATCAAGATAAATCGTGTCCACAGCACTGATCCAGGGCCAGCCCAGGATGTTTGTCACTATAGGCAAAACAGAAAATGCCCCACTTCCTCCTCCTCTGCAGCCCACCCCCCTCCTCTGCTGCATGCCTGCTACTTGCCCACTGGGGGGGGGTGTAAAAGGAGACCAGAGAGTAGTGGCTGGCAGTGGGTGCGGAGTGGTGGGCAAGGCCACAGTGGAGGAGGAGGAGGAGGCGGCGGCAAAAAGCACAGCCACTCCCCTGGCTGTCCAGAGCCTGCCACCCTGAGGCAACTGTCTCATCTTGCCTCGTTGGCGTGCCAGCCCTGCACTAAGCTAGCAATCCAGTAATAAAAAAAGATATAAGATTAGTCTGGTATTAATTCTTGGCAAAGTCATGGTGGCTTCTACTAATCACTGTATTGTTAAGAAGATGCTTCTGGACTGATTGCGTTGTAATCTGTTCTACTGTCTTCCTTGATATCAAAGTCAAACTGACCAGCCTGCAGTTTTCAGGATTCTTTTACCCCTTTATTGGGTCTTGGGACAACACACCTACTACTCCTTTGTGGTCATAAACTTGTTTATCAAGCAGCAGCAAAAGCAGCACTGTAATGGACCAAGACCCAAGCAGCTACTTGGTTTCTATCAGCAACTGGTGGGCAACATATTTCACCCCACATGTTCCTGGAGGAGTTGTAGTCCCTCTGAAGAAAAGGGTTCATAGTCCAGGGATATTTCTGGATTCCAGTCTGTCACTGGCACCACAAGTAGAGTCTGTAGCTAGAGGTGCATATGCCTAGCCTAGGCTGCTTCACCAGTTATGGCCTGTCCTTCAGCTCTCTACCGTGGTTTCAGTTGTCCATGCTCTAGCAACCTTCCACCTGGGCTATGGCAATGCTCTCCATGAGGGGCTGCCCCCTTGAAGACAGTTTGGAAGCTACAGCTGGTGCAGATAGTGGCCGCCATCCGGCATTCTCCACCTTGGCAAGAACGAGGCACTCTTCAACAACCTGTTCTAGCTAGGGGGTAGAAATACTCTGAGGAGGCAGGGCTGGGTAGGAGGGCACTCCAGGCCTTTGTTGCAAGTAAACCAAATGTTACAAAAAATTCCATAATCTCCAGCACTCTTCACTTAAGGGGAGGGGGATCCCAAGTAGCACTTACTCCAGAAACTCTCGCCACAATTGAGGAGTGTACAACAATACTTACAGAAAGACTACCCAATAAATCCAGGAACCTTAAAACACTACTGATCTTAGTGAGAAGCCTCTGATAAACCTCCAATAAACACACATACTCTTCTGGAACAGAGTTTGATAACTCTTGTATCAAATGTTTCTGTTGGAAAATTTAATAAACACATCATGACTGTGATGTTACCTTTCAGCTAATAGTACACTGCATCTTGCCACAGATGGATAAAGTTTTCTACCATCCTTTTCCCATTGCTGCCTCACATCCTTTATAGTTGACCTGGAGACCAAGTAGTTCTGAGGAATATTTTCTCCCTATAGAAGAGCCTTCTTTATTATTAAGCGCCTTGAATACATCATAGAAGCCCCCTGGACTATACTGCCTTTCCCCCCTTTTTTCTTTTTGCAGAGGACAAGTGGATTTGTTTGAACATCCTCAAGAGAAAACATCAAACATCTTTAGACCCATGCATTCCAGAACTAGCACACAAGAATGGAAGGGAAGAAATCCTCTTTGACAGAGGCAATAAAATTCATTTGTGTGCTGCACTTCTCACACCATCATTAAATAAAAAAAACCATGAAGAAATATATAATCTATTTTAAATGTACTGTAGTCTACCAAAGACTGTCATAAAACAAAGGACTGCTTACTATGCATCTCTCCATGGATGGTATAAACAAGCCATAGGACAGAAATACTTATAAAGGTTTCTTTTTTAAAAAAAAAAAAATCTGCATAGCTAATATCTATTGATCTGAACACAGATCTGTCAACAGGCAACATTTTAATTTAGAGAAAAACCGCACACCTACACACACACACACACAGAGAGAGAGAGAGAGAATAAAGGGTAATTCAAATAATATCAAGTATTGACTCTTGCTCATATATTCCGTCCTCAAAAAGAAACAACTGTGAAAAATTTGTACAATAAGGAAGCAACAACAACAAAAAGGAAAAGGGAAAATACTATTTAATATATTAAAGCCACTGAAGTATAACAATAATAACATGATTTTAAAGAGAGTGAAACATTAAGCAATATGGAGAACAGTAGAGAAATTAATAAAAAGAGACACACTCATGGACATAGAGACACTCATTCACCCACCCACATTTACAGCCTTTTTAGCTCCATAGTATCAACACAAAGGAGAGGTTAGTGCAGAAAAAGGAGTTGACTCACTGAAAGTATTGGGTTAGTATCCAGGTGTATATCTCTAAAAGACTAGCTCATGCGTTTGTTTCCTGACAGTAGGAAGCGACGCTCCCAACAGTCTCGCCTTCCTGATAATTTCACCCCAGTTACTTTCTCTAACAGAAGGCCTACTTGTGAAACAGAGCCTATGAATATACATGAGGAAGGCAACCAATGGTCTTTAAGAAAATGGCTTGCTTAACAGCATGGATGTTTCCACTTTATATTTAGCAGGTTGTCTCCACCAATAATGCATTTTAATTAATAAACAGCTTGCGAGCATCGCTGCTGCCAATTATGGAAAGCCAGGAAAGTGGGGGATTTCTCTTCCTCCCAGCCGTCCCTCGCCAGCATCTGCTATTAAAAATCAAAACACCGAATAATTTCTAATATCATTTGTATCAAACCGGTTGTCATGGCTGTTATTTCTCAGACTCTATGGAAAAAAATCCACCAACATGTCATTTGCAATGCTGCGTAAGCTGCTTATAAGCTTGGGAGCTTCCATAAGCGTTTTTAATAGAGTACTGTAGCAGAAGGTGTGGAAGGGCAAGGCAACATTTCTAACTTGCAGCATCTGGGGCTGAAAAGAAAAGGGGAAAGAGGGAAAAACCCACATACCATTCCCAGACAGAGGTTTTAATTGCAAATGAGAAAATCCATGCCAATCATTGGTTGCTCCATAGTTGCCCATCTCCCTGCAGGCAAGCTGTCAAAGGAAGCAATTAGAATGTACCACAAGAAATATGTCTCTTGCAGGGCCAACCAGCACAGGTAAATAAGTTGTCAGTCATTTATTAGTAAAGAGGTAACTAAAGATCAAAGGGAGCAGGGAGATATCTGCAGTCAATATTATGCCATTAAGGGGAAACTCGGGCATACAGAAGAGGAAACTAGAGGGCCCATAATAGTGCTAAGGCAGGCCATTGGCTCACCTAGTCTAGGACAGTCTATTCTGATTGGACGCAGTTCTCTGAGGATTCAGATTTTCCAGAGATTGATATGTGAGATCTTTTAAAAGTGGAAATCCTGGGGACTTCCAGTTCATTCTGTTTTCCTGACACTTCCCTAAGTGTTCATTGTCACGTTATATTTGAGCTTTCACATGACATAAAATTCCACTTCTGGAACAACTGTGGAACGTAGCACAAGTTGGGTGCTCATTTTCTTGCAGGGGGGCCAGCTTGAATAAAGTACTGGGGAGGCACGTAAGTCCCACCCTGCAGAATCGATCGCAAGATGTGGTGCACACCATTTGAATGGCAATGCCCATCAATTTTTGGGGCCATGACCTCCTCAAATATTTTATTGTGGGGGCAAATGGAGCTCGGCTCCTAGGAGTTGGCTCCCATGTTTCTGTGTTATTTGCTTCCAGAAAACATCTATTTGCAAATAATGCGGCAATGAGTGCTGAACTTGCACTATATTGCACTATATTCCACCATATTTCCAGAAGTGTCTTTTATGTTGTGTGAAAGCTCAAATACAATGTGGGGATTAGCAGACAGGGTGTGAATGCAGCCAAAGACCTTTGATGTGCAAAGCCTCTGAGCTATAGCTCTTTTCCTTAATAAAACATGCATGTAATCATATCAACTAATGTATGCATCTACTTCAGTTCTCTTCTCTATGTGGCTTTTGATTTTATTTTCATCTTATTTAGGGGCATTTATTTCATTATTCATTTGTCAAACATTTTAGTTACTTTTTAAAACAACAACAACAAAACAAAAGTAATTTTACAAAAAAACCCCTATATGTACCTCTTTCACTGTATATTTTCCAAACTAGCCATTGTCTTTTGCCAAGATGAATAGGAGCACTGCAGCACAAAACGCTGAGTGGAGTCCTCGTGAAAATTTGTCTTAATATTCAAGTCTTTGTATGCAATTTTGCCTAATATACACATTTTTGCAAGCAATTCCCCCTAATACAGTGCATTTTTGTATGTTACTTTCACCAACATGAACATTTACATGCACACTTCACCCTAGAATATACTTTTTTGAACACATTGCTGTTGGGGGGCTGGGGGAAGAGAACTGAACTGCAAAATTCAGAGCAAAGTGAGTGTTTCGGTTTGTACAGTGGTACCTCTAGTTACAAACTTAATTCGTTCCGGAGGTCCGTTCTTAACCTGAAACTGTTCTTAACTAGAGGCATGCTTTCGCTAATGGGGCCTCCCGCTGCTGCTGTGCCGTCGGCACACAATTTCCGTTCTCATCCTGGGGCAAAGTTCTCAACTCGAGGTAACTCTTCCAGGTTAGCAGAGTTTGTAACCTGAAGCATTTGTAACCTGAGGTGTTTGTAACTCGAGGTACCACTGTATATTGTTTCAGGAAGTATGAATTAGGCATGAATGGAATTGAAAATCCTGACATTTGGAACCTTGCCAGTTTGCTCAACCCAGGGTAAAAGCTGGCTGGGGTGTGTGTGTGTGTGTGTGTGTGTGTGTGTGTTTGTTTACCTTCACACCTCCAGCTTTCTGGCTTGTTTTTTCAAAACTATTTCCCCAAACACTGGTAGCAATGGGAGAACAAACCTCTATGGCAGATCCAGGCTAGTATGCATTGAAAGCCCAATACAGTATATAGGCATGTTGAGGACATGAAGGAGCATTGTATCCAATGGATCCAAGGCTTACAATGACATGTCTTAAAATACCACCAGCGGCAAATCTGTGCCCATGGAAAGCTTTGGGAATACTGGGACTCTCCAAGGGAGCAAACACAGCAAAATTATTTAAGGCTTTACATGTTCAAACTTTAGAAGTCCAAACATTTGGGCAACTCTTAGTAGTCACCCAACATCTGTAGCCACCATGACACCACTCCTGTTGTAATGAATTAGAACAAGCATAGGCAAACTCAGCCCTCCAGGTGTTTTGAGACCACAATTCCCATTATCCCTGACCACTGGTCCTGTTAGCTAGGGATGATGGGAGTTGTAGTCCCAAAACATCTGGAGGGCCGAGTTTGCCTATGCCTGAATTAGAACTTGATCTTTCTCTGCACCTCTGAAGCGGACGATATCCTGCTTCCCTTTTCCAAATCCAAGCTTGCACCAAAGGAAAGGCAGGTACCATTCCCACTTGTGTGCTTGTTTCAGGAGGGCTTCTGAAGCCCATCACAACTGTGTTTCCTCTCCAGAGATTGGGATTATTTGGCACAAAACTTCCAAGTCCCTCCAACAGCAAACTGTTCTTTCCAACCCTTTGGCTGGAAGCAGAGTAGGGCACTTTGTGAGTTTGTTCAGACACACACACACACACACACACACACACACATCCACTCTACGTAAACACTTGATGATTCCTGACTTAGAGTGAGCTGACATCATTAAAAAGCATCATATTTGAGGTGAAAGTAATGTCCCAAAGCCTTTAGTCTGGTTGATTTTTATATATGGGATAGGGCAGGGGGGAATAGCATCTTGGCCTTTGCCTCAGGCAGCAAAAAGTCTTGGGCTGGCCTTGGCTTAGAAGGATCTTTCCCCCCTCTTTGATATGCTCCACACCTGTGTGTGTGAGAGAAGCAGAGAGATTGGGAATGTAGGGTATGCTTATTAAGTGGGGAGGAGAAGCCTTCAAAGTCACGAATTCTTTTGCTGTGTTTCCCCTCCTCAAATGTGGAATTCATGCTTGCAACTTTTCTCCAAAGGATAGATACTAGAAAGGCTTGAAGAGCTCTGATGAATGCATTAGCACACATTTGACAACTGCAGAACCATACGTGTGATCAAAGGTTACATATTCAATGCAAAGTAGGGGTTTAATGCGGCTGTTTTGAGTTCTGCTACACCCAGCAGAAGAGAGAAGGGTCTACTAATGATTTTTTGACAATACAATATATAAATTATTAGAAATCCAAAATGCAAATATCTTGTTGAATCATATTTTCTAACATTTTCAAAGTGAATAACAACTTTTAAGAGTAAGATGCTGGTGATGCAACAAAGTTGGTCTAATTATTCCCAATAATTTAAACAAGTATTTATTCCACAAATACTTGGAGGGGTGGCACAGGGGCTTGTTGAAAACTTCAATTAAAAAAAATGATGCTCACTATTTTGTTTTTCCAATCTTTTCTTTGCTGGGTTTTACACAAGATCTAAGTGAGATATCTTATTAGCAGACAAACAAATGTATTGTGGCATGAATTTTCATAAGTATTGATTACCTTTGTCATCTGCATGAAATGGAAGTACTGTTTTGGCCCGAATATAACCCACACCCAAATATAAGTCACACCTTTAAAATTTGGCGGCTTGGGGGAGGCTTGGGAGCCACAGACGGGATGGGCACCATTGCCCCCATGCTCCTGGGCTGCTGTCTGGGGAGGGGGAGCCATGCCCCTTTGCCGGCAGCCTCGCCCCCTTCTTGGCGGTTCAGGGGAGGCTTGGGAGCAGCGGTTGGGGCGGGCGCCGTTGCCCTGTGTTCTGGACAGCCCTCGTAAGGAATTTGGAAAAATGTGTGGCTTATATTTGGGCCAATACGGTAGGTTCTTGCCCATGTAACCACATGCCACAGTCAAATCTGTTAGACATGAAGGTACCATGGATCACATGGCTGTTTCCGCTACTGCAGATCAACACAGCTATTTTTTCTGGAATCAGTACTTAGTCCACTTTAGTATTGATATCAAGTTCCTGCATCTTATCATGTGGTAGATGGGAAACATGCCCAGTTAATAAAACTAACAGATTTCTGGCTCCTGTTATTTTGTATCTATCTGCAAAATAGCATGTTATATTATAAGTATAAAGACATATGGCTTCATGATCTTGAAGCATAGTAAATACTCTGGCATTAAAGTGTTTGCTGTTGGGGATTAATTTGCCTCCTGTTGAGCAGAGCTCTGCTATTAATTTGTGGTAGTCTATGGCTGACATGAGGAAGAGAAAACATTATAATCACATGACTACAGCAAACCAAATAGATCATTGAGCAGAGTTGAACCTGTGATGTTGCTAAAATATATTAGAGCACATTTTTCTCAGTCAAAACATTATTTTCTTTCCTATAACTCTCACATACTGTTCAAAGCAATGTTCAAAATGTGGGTCTCATCCAAGGCTTAGGATGTTAACATGAAAATGTCACCTTGTTGCTTGATTAACAACCAGCTGTTCTGTCTAATAGGTTAATATTTCCCTTGGTGAACATTAGCTGTGGTGCTTTTCTCATGAGAACTCTTAGTTTTTATCATTTCTCTGGGTAAGGAAGATTTAAACCCACAGCCTGGTAGAAAAGTGCTAGGGTTGAAATCCAGATATGAGCCAGTATGGAGCTGCATCAAACATCCAAAATCAAGTTATGTTATGTTTTGCTTGGAAATATTCACACTATACGAGGTTGGGAGGAGAAGGGTGGGGATGGTTATTTGGGGAAAGCTGCACATTTAGAGAAAGGCAGTAAGATGTGAGAGGAAAGCTATATTTGGATTTAGCAGAAGTTAGCCACTGAGTCCCTTACTATAAACGGAATTTTGTGTTCCACCAATTGCTGTCCCCTACAAAAGACCCAAACATGAGTCCTACAGATGACAAGAGCTGAAATGCTCACTTGAGTCAGATAGTTACTGTAAAAATGAAAAAGGCTAGTGGGGTTTTGCAGGAATCCTCCAATATCTTAATTTGGCTCCATTCTAATTAGACTCAAAGAGCCATTTCACGGCTAAAATGCACATTGCATGCAAACATGTAACAGTGTTGCCTGATAGCTTTTTCATGGAGGATAAGGCTATCCATGGCTACCAGCCATGATGGCTATGTTCTGCCTCCACTGTTGGAGACAATACGACTCTGAATACCAGTTGCTTGAAATTGCAAGTGGGGAGAGGGCTGCTTCACTCAGGTTCTGCTTACAGGCTTCCTGTGGACATCTGGTTGGCCATTGCGAGAACAGAGCGCTAGACTGGATGGCTCTTTGGCACAATCCAGCAGGCTCTTCCCATGTTCATTTAAGCTTGAAAAATTACTTTGGGAAAAGGTGATTGAGCCTGGATTGGTGCTTGGGGAACAATCATTTCCCCACTTGCTACCTCCCTCTCCAAATCACACCTTTCTCCCTCTACACTGGCTTTGAATTTAAGTACGTGTTTGTGAAGGTCAGAGATACCGACAGGCTACACTGATATGTGTTTGCATGTAACATTTAATTGTGCCTCCCCAAATATCTTGGGACACTTCACTAAGACACCCATTTTTGTGATCAGTCTAATATATCAAGAAGTAACTCACGTCTTCTAGCAACTGCTGAATTCCTTAATATGTAGGTTGGAGCATCAGCAATCACAGTTGTTGCGACTGAGCTCTGTGAACTATCGGCTCACATATTGGACCGTCCATTCACGTGGATATTTCCATTCAGTTCAAAAGGTATTATTCAATTTCCATCCATCCATCCATATATCTCTCTCTCTCGTGGTATTTGTGGTATATTTAACCATTATACTACTCTGTCTCCCTTGTTACAATGTTACTAACTATACACTGCAGTAAAATAAAACTATATTTTGGTATTGAACAATTAGGCTGTTTCTTTGCATCCTTGAATGCTATAGATGCTATTTCCACTTAGACTTGGTCCACGTTATACTTTTAAAGTACATTCAAAGCACATTATTTCCCTCAAGGAATTATGGGCACTGTAGTTTACTTCTCACAGAATTACAACTCCCTGAAACCTTTAACAAACTACTGTGCCCAGGATTCTTTGAGGGAAAGATTAAGCTTGAATGTGCTTTCAATGAGCAGTGTGCACACAAGTTGCATGATATCTCCAAACAGAAAAAGAGCATTCAACGTATTTGGCTATGAAGGAAAGATATGATGCTGGTCACAGTTCTCCCTTTGGTATAGGATCCCAATGTTCCTGAACCCCACAAATTGGACAACATTGGATTTAACATGACTAGACTTAACTTATCAAGCTTGTATTCTATTACAAGTAAAGTTATGCATTTTACTTTGGAAAAGAAAGTATCCATTCTGGATATTGCATATTTCAGAATAGGTCCTATCACTGTGAAAAAGCAGATCATTTAATATGAAACTGAAGGTGCATTTGTCATTGTCATCCTTATCATGGAAAACAGCAAAAAGCTCCCTGAGCATAATAAATCAGCTGAAGTTATACATCAAGAATTGATCTACTATGAATAATTAGCTGCTGCAACTAGTCTCCCACTAATGGTGTTAGAAAGCATTAAGTGTAGCTTTCATTGTGATCACGGGAGTGTTAAACATAAATTCACACATAGTAACATGTAGATGTGGTGCTGGAGCAGCAAAAACATAAGACTACACAAAGGCCTTGCTCTCTGAATGCCTGGTAACCGCCTAACAACTGGGGGGGGGGGGAATCAAACAACTGTTGAAATAGAAATAGAAAATTGAAAGCTATCATGCAAAGTCGGAGCTATCCAATGAGAATTTAAACCATCTCTTGAGTGGCTTTATATGCAAAATACAGCCATTTATAATACAAATATGTTATCCTGGAAATGAAACTGTGTACGGGCCAACTTATATGTTGTGTATTTTCCTGCATGGAAAGCACTTCTGTCTGGGAAATACTGTGCAACTCAAATTGTATATGATGAGGCCAGATGGAGACATTTACGTATGAAAACAGGCTAAAAAACCATGACTAGATCCAGGCTAAAGAGAATTGCTTTATACGTTTAAAAAAAACCCCAAAAAACCCTGCTGAAATGGCATAAATGTAGATTCAGAGGTCTAAGTCGAAGAGGCTGTAATGCTATGCACACTTATCTAAGTTCCATTAGATTCAGCGTGAGTTACTTCCAAGCAGGCATGCCTAGAATTGTACTGTAAAGCAAGGGTTTAAATCATTGGCCTCCTACGCATGGCGTTGGGCTGTAATCACTTTGTCATATTTGAAGTTTTGCCTATACCAATTTGCCTAGAAAAAGGTTGATCGTAACAATTAGATCACCTTATACTTCTACAATCATCAGAAGTGTTTTATGTCTCAGTAACAATACAGCATTGTGAAAAGGTAAGTAAGTAGAGATGCACAACAATTTGCAAAGTTGGTTGTGACCTGGAAAAGAAACGTCATCTCCTTCCTCCTAATTTACCCTTTACCAGCAGAAAGACAAGGCAGTATTTGCATTCTAGCACATAACTATTTTTCAAGCTTTAAATTTTTTTTTTTAAAGAACAACCTACTGCTCACTAACTAGTACGGATGTGAAGTTGATTCCTAGTGGAACTAAAATGATCATTTAAACAGATGGCATGGCAAGAGACCAAGAGACAGCCTGGATCAAAACCTTGCGCCCTGTTAACTTACAGCACAGCATATCTTTGAGAGACAACCTCCTCCTAGACATTTTCATTAGTGCTGGATAAACCTCAGAAGGATCAGAAAGTCTGTATGGATTAGTAGCCCCAGTGCAGGATGCTTCGTCACAGTGAATTTGAACTGTTGATTAGCGAAAACACAGAAAGAACATTCATTCCCTTCCCCTTGTTGCTGAAAACCGCCAGAATGATTGAAATTTGCACATACCAATCTGCGAATTTCCCTCTCACACTCTCTCTTTATCCTGGTAATCTCTTCTTGGTGAAGGTGATACACACTCCGTATCTCTGCTGCTTTGATTTTGTCGGCTTGCACAACCACAGATAAAGCTTCTTCCACTTGCTTTTTAGCCCCCTTAAGCTCCAAAATTTCCTGTTGCATTTTGGTTTTCTCACCCTCAAATCCCTTCTTGGCCTCCTCCTTTGCTTCGCAGAAGAGCATCGTCTTAACCTTATCAGGCGTCCCATCCCGGACAACATTGAGTAAGGCCTGAAGTCTCTGAATTTCATTATCTTTGATTTTTATGACTCTAAGAAGCTCAGCTTCATGCTGTCTTAAAAGTCCCTCGCGAACAGCTTGGAGCTCCTTCATTTTTTCTTCATGAAGTTTAGCCTTGAGCTCTGTTACAGTCACTGTGTTTTTGTGCTGTTCGTGTTCTTTGATCAGCTTCACTTCCTGATTTTTCTCCCTCTCCAATTTGCTGACCTAGAAGAAAAAGAAAGTATCACGCGGTATGTTTAAGATGGATTTTATAACCTAGCAATAAATGTTGGAGGACATATTTAAGACAGCTGTTGGGAAATCAGCAAGTGTTTTTTCCTTATCACAAATTAAGGGTTAAAAAGAGATGTAAGATTAAATGAGTGAGTTTGTCTGGGGTTTTTTCTCCCTATTAGCAACATCAGCTATGCAGGGTGGGGGGCACAAGCTAGATCAGAACCATGGTGCATGGGAAGGAGGGGTTAATCCTGTCCCCCATGTTAGAATCCCACCGAAAGTTAGAGTTGCTCATAGTCCTGACAATGCAGCATGTCAGGGGTGGATAAGGAAAGATGGAGTCCTCCCATTACAAGTTTCTCCGCCCCTCTGAAAAACTCCATCTCCTACTGAATCCTGGGCTCATTTCCCATCGGACACCGGGCACACTGGGTGTACTGGGAAGATGTAGACAAAGGGAGGGAAGGAAAATACCTCCCTTTCTCTTCTACAGTGACTTACACATTAAAATTAGGGCCCGTCCATACCTTGGCTTAATATGGATTCTTTGTGCCTTCTTTAATTTCCTCTCATCCATGTGGCATTCACCTCCAACTACTGCCCCCCTTCTAAAAATCTTGAGATCCCAATATGCAATTAATGTAGCTCTCCTTTCCAGATTTCCAAGGCATAGAGAATCCCTGGATTTAGTGAGCAGACAGTGTGGGACAACAGTAGTTGGAAGAGAACACTGCATGGACGATGGGGAATTAAAGGGGGCCCTTTATTGTAATAATAAGCTTTAATAAGGACAGGAATATTCACAATACCAAAGTTTCTCAACAGCCGTCTGCATGCTTCTCCTTGATGATACACAATTACCATGTCTAAAAGTTGGTTGCATGCATTGTATTTTTGCACTTTTTGGTAACGTGCTAATGCATACACAGGAGTGTCGACACAGATAGGCCTGACAATAATTCAAACCAACCAACGCACACACCCATTTAAATTAGCTGACAAAAGCAGTTTTGGTATGGCTGGATTAGCTCTCCTTCTCAAAAGTTTTAAAATAATTCACTGATCTTCTTGCCTGCCTACCTACCCTTTATAGTGAAAGCAAAACAACTAGAGTCTGTCTGAACCAACCTCCTGCCAATTTCTAACGCAAAAGTCAGAGACTCAGCTCATTTCAGGTTTCACGTAAGCACAAGTTTTGCACTGGTCTTTTAACTTTTGCACTGAATGCTTTTTTTGAGTTCTTCAAGGCAACAATTCCAGCTAAAAGCATCGCCCGCTGGCAAATGTAAGACACTTGTGAGTTTAGCAGAGTTTTGAAAAGCAAAGACTGTCAATGAGCTCGCCCCATTTTCCACCTCAGTGCCCCATTACTTAACAGTGGCCATGTTACTTGGCTCTTAGATACTCTGCTATTATTACACAACTGATCTAACAGACATTGTTCCAGTTACTTCCAGGGCTCCTTCATTCAGCATTCATCCTAACTGGGTGGCACAAAACTTACTTGGTGGTTAGACTCTGTCCAGTTGCACTGAGCATTCATCCTGATTTGCTTACAGGGTTCTTACATGTCTTCCTGTTAATCATTCATTAATCCCACATTATTCATTCATTCCACATTTTTTGGCATGTTTCTCTATCACTTTCCTAACTTCAAAAGGTTGGGGGGATTGGTTTTTTTTCTTATTAAACAAAAGAGTGGATTGATTGAACTAGGGCAACAAAGTGTTTTATTCCACTTTAATTGCACAAGCCTAAATTTCCAGTATGCACTTAAATCCTTCCCACAAAATAGGGGGAGTCTGGAGGCACCCCCAGTTACTAAAGGGGTTTTACTAAATGGGGTCTTAAAGGTATTTTACTAAAGGGTCATTCAGGTATCACAACTGATAGCAGTTTTTTTACTGACTGAATCCCCCGTCCTCCCTGTTAAATCTGGATTAAGTGTGTGTAGGGGGGTATGGCCTGGCATTTTGATGCCAATGATGTTGTGTGGATGATACAAAAAAAAGCTGCATGTATGAGGAGCACCTACCCACAGGAAACACAACAGCAGCTTGCTGGGTGGGGTGCAGCAGCTAAACTAGCTACCCAGAAGATGGCTCACTTGGAGGGAAAGATGGCGGGGAGCTTGGCATGGTGGAAACACACTCACAGAGCCAATCTAGTACATTTGCACCACATTGACCTCCCCGCCCCTTTGATCCTTTATCTTCTCCTTTCTGCTAAGCAACAGGGACCAACCTGCTAGGAAGCTAGTGCCATGGCTCCAGGTGGCCCCCTCCCCAGCAAACTGCTTCTCAAGATTCACCCATCTGTAAATTACCTAACACCCATCAGGAAGCCCCTTAAAACTAACATGTTACAAATTTTCTTAGCTACCAAATTAAATTTAAAAATCCCCAAACCATTTTCAGAGTAGTGGTGCAGCAGTAAAATCTTCCAGCCCCTTTGCAAAGCTAAGCAGGGTCTGGTGTGGTTTCAAACTGGATGGGAGACTGTGTTTTGAGATTCCTGCATTGCACAGGGTTGGACCAGACTACCCTAGGTATTCCCTCTATGATTCTAAAACAGCTTTGTGCTTGCTCAGTGGTTTTTAAAATGTTAATTAAGCAGCGTTGGAAGTAAAGAATAAATAAAAATGTCCTGCCTGGACAGTACGCAAACATACACTTTTGAACAATATACAAATGGCCTTCTTTTAATGATGTCTTCCCAGGAATGAAGCTGCTGCTGTACAAGCTATTCAATAATGTAATACTTCTGGGCTTGTTTTCCGACGTGTGATTTACACAAGAATTTTGGAGTAACACTAAATCTCCTAATTAGAAATGAATTACAAAGAGATGCCATCCATTCAGAACCCTCGGCTGCAATTGCTTGTCTGCAGCTGATATTAGCAACATGCTGGCCACGTCTAACATTAGCATACTGCTTATATTTCATTACCGACTGCTTAGTTTGCAGTGCTTAGTTTGCAGTGTTGCCTGGGATGGATTGGTAACATCAAATAAAATCAATACTAAAGTCTGGACTGGCTTGCATTTGTGGGTTATAACTATCATACCTGGAATGAGGCTTTTAAAAATGGTGTGGACTTGCATAGAAGAAACAGTAGAAATGTGTGTTTGTGTGTGTACAGTATACACACACATATCTATGAATCTATGAATGACCTGGGTGCCTAGATAGTATAATGTGGAAATATGTGGTCCTTAAGGCCTGTTAGCCAGTGCAGTTGCCTCAATATTGGCTCAATAGCTGGCATACATCTGTCTCTGGAGACAATGGAGGAGTGTCCCTTTGGACTTGAAGTCAAACTGTTGGAGAGTCACAGCGACTGCTGTGGCTGTAGAGACCAATACAGGAGAAACATGTTTTGTTGCAGCGGGCACAGATGAAGGCATCCATTTGTGCTAGTGCAAATGTGCCATGGCTAAATATGGCCTCACTTATTCCAGCCAAAATTAAATACATAAATTTAAAAAACCCCAAGGGTTGTAGCCATCATTAGCCCTACTCTGAGTAGATCCTTTGAAATTAATGAACATGGCTAGCTTGGGTTCATTCATATCAGTGGGAGACCCATATAGAAAAGTATTTATTTTTATATTGCCTTATATAAAATTATGAGTCTTATTCAACACTGCTGTTCTGCTAGCGCAACCAGTTGCACCATGCAACTTTCCCCTCCACGCCTCTCCCATGAAGACCCCCTCATCATCAAAATCTGCTCCAGAGGATTGAGGGGCCCTTCAGGGAAGATTTTTAGGGTGCGCAGAGAAAAATTTGATGGTACACAAGGAGAGGACAGGGGTGGCCCATTCCACAAACAGAACTCCATGCACAAACCTATCTATTTTTATATTGTTTTATTTGGATTACGTTAGAATAACTTGGGATATTTACTTACAGCTACTAGTAAGCATAAACCTTCACAGCCATATATTTCTGTCTATCCTACATTTATGCAATTCAATTTATTAACATTTAAATAATCAACGTATCTGAATTTAAGTACATTAAGAGCCATTTATGTAACATTGCCTGTGACATCTGTTCATCATCAGTACCGTTCTCCAGTAGTGTCAACATAAAATTCAGCAGGTTCACCCTGAGTAGTACTTAATTGGCTGCAACCCTGTTTCCAAGCAAAGCGAAGTGTAGACAAAATATAATTTGTCTTCAGATTTGGTAGATTACTCTAAAAGCCAATGCAGGCTCCAGCTGTCACCCACACAGTAACCAAAGATTAATTTAATTTTCGCATTAAAAAGCTAGATTGTGCTCAAAAGAAATTGCCGGATCAGCTTGTTTAATGTGAACTGCATATGGATTTATGCCATCGTCCCCCACCCCTTCTTGGCAGTTTTGCTTCTTAGTGTATGGTACATGCTGACAATACAGCTGCTTTTGCCTCCATAGGGGACCAATTAGAGAAGTCTCTAAATAATGCATCAAAACCCGCATTCGTATGAAGACAAGATCTAAAACAACCTTCAGGCTTCATTCCACAAGAGTATATTAAGAGGAGGACCCTTGTTTAATGTTTGCAGCATCTTCTTTTTTCATGATCAACTCCTCAATTTACAGATCCAAGGCTTATGTTCCATTGCAAAGAAGGACCTAATCTATTAATACACATGCTATCTTTCAGAAGTGCATTTACTTATTAAAACACACATCTGTACTGTGATGAAGTGTACCAAATTGCATGGTGCGGTGTGTTTTTTCCTGGCACAGGAAAAGAGCTATGGGATGGCTTTGCCTCCTAATTCACCATCACATTGTAAGTGGGTGTGTTTAGGAAACAGGATGGCTTTTGTTTTGATTAGCAGTGGTGGGGGAAAAAAAGATGCACACCTTACTCTTTTCTTGCTGGAGTTCTATTTGAATATCTGTTAGTTTTGCCCTGAGCTCTTCATTAGCGGCTTGCAAAGCAGCTAAGGCATCCGGTCTTTCTCCTTTAGCTCGAAAGCTGGCACCCTTCTTTGACATCGTGAGACGGCGTGGCAAGAGGGGCAGAATCCCAAGCAGAGAGGACCTCCTGCTCTCGCCTATTCCTTGATTCTGCTCCACGACATTTTCTTATTCATCTGCAAAATAAAAGAAAGACCAACAGTTGGGAGTCCCATCATTAGTCTAAGGAAAATACAAGGTGTTTCAGCTGGAGAGGGACCAAAGTACATAAGAAAGAAGCCCCTTTTAAGGAATTGTGCATCTTCCATTTACTTCCTTATTGGTAACAATACATCTTCTCCTAGAGCAGCCTTTCTCAACCTATGGGTCCCTAGATGTTGTTGGACTACAACTCCCATCACCCCTAGCTAGCAAGGCCTCAGGGATGATGGGAGTTGTAGTCCAACAACATCTGGGGACCCACAGGTTGAGAACTGCTGTCCTAGAGCAACTTGCAGATTCTTCCTTAGCCACTCATCATCATTTCATCCTAGGGTAGAGCTACATCACATAAAACCTTACAAAATTCAAAAACTAGTTCAATAAAAACACAGCATCACTTACATATCAAGTGAGTGATAAAATACATGCTGGTTCAAAGCCTCAACCCCTTCCCCAAATACTGGGAGGAGTAGTTTCAGCTGCCAATGAAAAGTCAGCAATTTCAGCTTTTGTGTGTTTTAGAAAACATGGTGGCACCACATAGAACATAGACATAGAAGGTCCAACCATACATTAGACTTTTTGAAGTACCATATGAGATACTCTAAAGAGCCATTGCAGTTATTTGGTGAAGTGCAAGCTGCCCTCTTCATCCCTATTCTGGTATGTTTCTTAATTGGTGGAGTGGGAAAGCTTATCCGCCCATTTCCGAGCACAATTCAAAGTGTTGGCGCTCACCATTAAAGCCCTAAAAGCCCAGTATACCTGAAGGAGCAACTCCACCCCCATCGTTCAGCCCAGACACTGAGGTCCAGCGCCGAGGGCCTTCTGGCGGTTCCCTCATTGCGAGAAGTGAAGCTACAGGGAACCAGGCAGAGGGCCTTCTCCGTAGTGGCACCCACCCTGTAGAACACCCTCCCATCAGATGTCAAGGAAATAAACAACTATCTGTCTTTTAGAAGACTTCTGAAGGCAGCCCTGTTTAGGGAAGATTTTAATGTTTGATGTTTTATCACTTTTTGTTATTATTAATTCTGTTGGGAGCCGCCCAGAGTGGCTGGGGGAACCCAGCCAGATGGGTGGGGTATAAATTATTATTATTATTATTCCTTTTAAAATATATTGTCATCATCAACCTTCCCTCCAAAGAGCTCAACACACTTATATGCCTCTCCATTTGATTCTCACAACAATCCTGTGAGGTAATTTACTCTGAGAGATAGTGACTGGCCCAAGGTCACCCACTGGGCTTCATGGCTGAGTGGGAATTTGAATCCTGTTGTCCCAGGTCCTTGTCCAACACTAACTCGTATGGAAAATGAATAGAAAAATGAACTGCGGAATGAGTTTGGGGATGCAGCAGAATGTCTGTGCAAATGCTTCATGACAACCCCAAATCATTATCCCCTTTCCCACCCCAGCAAGATGACATCTCATCACCTCACCACTGGCCAGCCATTCAAAGCCTCTGGGAGTGACTCCATAAAATATCTGACCACCTGGTCATAAAGAGTAGGAGATACAGGCTTGCTTCTCTGCACACCCACATTCTCCCAAATCACATATCAAGCCATATGATAACGTACGAGTTATGTGAATTACTGCAATATTGGTTGGTGCATTAGCTGTGATTTTTTTCAAAAATACATGCACATTATTGATTTCTCATCAGCTTATGACAGGCTAGATTTAAACCATTGATTTAAATCAAGGCAATTTAAATCATTGATTAAAAGTATTTAATTCACCAGTGGGGAAAAGCTGTTTAAAATAACTAACTCAAATCAAGCCTATATTTATTGAACAAATGTGCATACTAATCAGTTGTGATCACAATTCAAACTGAGTTGTTTATAGGCGAAATTGTGCCTTTACAGTACTGTCTCTGATGATACAGCCCATAAGCCACTTTCACTATAACAGGCATACCCAAAGACAAAGGAGCATTTGTGAAACTAAGCATATCTGTTTGGCTCTCTCTGTGATACATATGCAGGACAGGGAGTATGAGTATTTAAGACAAAATACTTTTCCAGAAGCAAGGACTGTTAGTTAGGACGCATCTGCACTATACATTTAAAGCAGTATCATACCACTTTAAACCGTCATGACATCTCCCCAAGAATCCTGGGAACTGTAGTTTGTTAAGGGTGCTGTGAGTTGTTAAAATGACCTTTATGCTCCTCACAGAGCTACAATTCCTGGGTGGTTTAGTAGTCATTTCCTCTTCCCAGGGAATTCTGCCAAGGTGAATGTCTCCTTCACTTTTTGAAGGACAATCATCATGCCATTTTCATTTCTCAGGAACATCAAAACATCCATTACACTCATGTTTGCAATTGCTAGCTTTATCCAATAAAGTTTCATCAAGACCATTCTTGCAGAAGCACGGTAAGAAAGACACAAAGAACTGGAAAATGGTGGGATGACCTCCAGTGGTCTTCAAGTTTATGAGAATTTCAGGAATGAAAATAGAGTTTTTACTTTATGAGTTGCAATTCCACATGGACCACACTGAAAGGCTTGCTTCTTTCTAAGCAAGCTGCTATTTACCTTGCCTTCTGATGGGAAGAAAATCCCTCTGCTGCACAAGCTGTCAGCAAAACACTAGCATGTGACCGGATTCCTTTCTCATGGCCACTAATTACACTTCAGGGGGGGTGTTTTAATAGAGGGAACACTCTTCAATTCATAGCAACATAAAGGATGCCGGGAAAGGCCATTCAGAATGTCAGATTATATCCAGCCATGATGATCCATTAATAGGTCAGAGAGATGCGGCTTCCTTCTGTGCTGTTTAATTGCATGCCCCAGCTGAAATCTCTAGACTCCTGTGTTCTTCCTTGAAAAAGCAAAGCAAAAGAAAACAAAGCACATGTTACAAAATTTGCACAGAATAACTCAATTGCACTCAGTGTCTGCTTTCCTTGCACACATTTGAAATGGTATTGGTTGGAACATTCCCCTTTTCCTAAACAATGTTTGCTTATGGGCTTCCCAAAGGCATCTGGCTGGCTACTCTTGGAATCAGGATGCAGGATTAGATAGTCTGATCAAGCACCTTTGCTTCCCTCCTTTGTGGAGGAAAAAGAGGGGCAAGTAGTGGAGATTTATGATGTCACAATCTCTTAATGTACCACTGCTCAAGTAATGCAGGGATGATAGGGGCACAGAAACAAGCAAGCAGGCAGGGATTACTTGTTAAAAAGCAGCATCAGTCTAACATCCTGAAATGCAAAACTAGCTCTTCAGTAGCCAAATCCACACGGTTACAACACTTCACCCACACACTGTCGCTCAGGCTGGAGAAATTGCTGACAGCCTCGTCTGCCCTCAAAATGCATCCCAGGTGCTTGACAATTCGAATAGGATGAGGTCATCTGCTGCCCATCAACTGATATTCAGTGCCCATCACTGGGAAATACCAGGCTGTGACAAACTTTAGAGAGAAAGCATGACTCTCAGTGGTATTTAAAGGACAAGCTGCCCCTTGACTTGCTAAGCATGCTGACATTTTTATACATATGCTTCCTGTTACAATGGTACCTCTGGTTAAGAACTTAATTCATTCCGGAGGTCCGTTCTTAACCTGAAACTGTTCTTAACCTGAGGTACCACTTTAGCTAATGGGGCCTCCTGCTTCCACCACGGCGCCATTTCTGTTCTCATCTTGAAGCAAAGTTCTTAACCCGAGGTACTATTTTTGGGTTAGCAGAGTCTGTAACCTGAAGCATCGGTAACCCGAGGTACCACTGTATCTTGTTTCCTCCATAGAGATGATGCAATTAAACCAAAACAAAGGAGATTCTGACTAAACATTCCTTATATCATTCGGAAAAACTTTCTGATAGTAAGAGCTGTTTGGCAGTGAAATGGACTCTTACGAGAGGTGGTGGGCTCTCCTTCCTGGGAGGTTTTTAAGCAGAGGTTGGATGGCCATCTCTCACGTATGATCAAGCTGAAATTCCTGCACTGCAGGGGGTCGGGTCCCTTCCAACTTTAAGATTCTATGAGTCTATGATTCTGTATGAAAAACTGGGTTGCTTCCCAGAACCACAATGAGAAATGTGCTTTTCCAGGTTCATGGGAATATTAATTTTAGACTTGGAATAGAATGGATGATATTATAATGAGAAGGCCTGGGGCTCCTTGGAATAAGACAATGGATGTAAAATAAGCTTTGCAGGTGTAGAGTTTAATGTTCAGGTTCTTGTCTTCTCTTCAACCATGAGCAGGGTCTTGTTTGTGCTGCTAGAATCCTCCTTGTCCTTTCAGTCTAGTGTTAAGTCCTGGGATAGACTGACCTGCTATTAAACCATGGCTTTGTGAAACACTGGCTTGGACCAATGAATGGATCCCTTGCAAACATTACAGATGCTTTCCTCAAAAAGCCAGGCCCCGAATCTTCAACCTATGCAGGAAGGCTTAACCTCTGTTAAGAAACTGACCATAAGATATACAATGATGTGCATTCTAGGTGCATCCCGATGAGCACAGAATGCAGGAAATTCAATTCCTAATAATCCCCCATTGTTTAATGCTTGAAAGCTTCTGGCCTGGAGAACATGTGAATGCGAATTTGTTATACTCAATAAAGATGAACGTAAAATGGATTTCTTTTCCTGCCTGTTCATACTGGCACACACAATTACAATGACAAGAAAGTCAATGTTAAGAGGGTATTATGAAGCTGAGAAACATGTTAACTGTATAATGAGATTTTCCACTAAGGAAATTGGCTTCTCCTATCATTCGCTAAGCAGCATGCCTGGCTGGTGAGTGGGTGGAGGGGTGGACTCCTACAAAAAGATTAATATGGAACTCTTTAATTAAGCCTTTTGCAAAGGAATGGAATATAATGAGAGGATACATGGATA